GGCTGGGGCTGAGGCGGAGGCGGGGGCGGGGGCGGAGGCTGAGGCTGAGGCTGAGGCTGAGGCTGGGGCTGAGGCTGGGGCTTCGACTTCCGTCTGGAGTCGGGCGTGGGAGCGCTCATGCTCGGTGCCGCCGTGTGGCAGGACAGGCAGGGAACAACGGTGGACAGCGACGACAGCCGGCGGAAGCGGCCGTAGCAGCCGCCGCCTCGGCACAGAGCGGCCGCTTTCCCCATCGAGCCGAGCCGGCGACCCGAGCGCGGAGCGCGGAGCGCGGCCGGCGGAGCGGGCGGGGGTTGGGAGCGGCAGAGGCGGAGGCCGGCGCGGGGCGGGCGGGGCTCGGCGGGCGCGCGGCGCAGGCGGTGGCGGTGGCGGTGGCGTGCGCGGGGCCCGCCGCGGTCCGTGCCATCCCCCGCACCTGGCCCGCTGGCTGCGGACCCCGATCCCTCTGTGGCGTCGCCAGCGCCCGCTCAGGGCCTGGCACTTGGAAGGCGCCCTGGGAACACCTGTGGGGCGAGAGCTTGGTGGGCGGGCTTCGGGGGAGGGACGGTGAGCTCCAAGCCACCATCCCTGCCTGCGCCCCAGCCCGTGCCAGGTTCTGGGGTAACAGCGATGGATGCGGAGCCCTCTGGCTGGCTGTCGCGGATGCGTTCGCTCCCGAAACCCAGGAGTGAGGGATAGGCAGGGAGCAGGTGCCGCGCCCAGAAACCAGCAAGTGTGCCCGAAGCACAGACGGCCAGCTGACGCCAACAGCCGAGAAGGACGCCTCCCGCCCCCATTACCTGTCTGTGGATCCCCATTACCTGTCTGCGGGTCCCCATTACCTGTCTGTGGGTTCCCATTACCTGTCTGTGGGTCCCCATTACCTGTCTGCGGGTCCCCATTACCTGTCTGTGGGTCCCCATTACCTGTCTGCGGGTCCTTCCCGCATGGACCAGGCTCAGTGACCCAAAGCCGCCGCTGCCCTCGCCACCTACTGGCTAGCCGGCCTCTGGCTCATGCCAGGGCACTGCACGTGGTGACATAGCTCTGGCTCTCTGTAAAGACAGAAAGTTTTGTCTAAAAGCGGATTCTTCACTTGGGCCCCCTAGACATCCCTGGGGAACCAGGCTGACGGACCATGAGGCCTCCTCAGCAGTCTGCAAGGTTTTCTGTGCCTGTGCATTTTTTTCTGGAAATAAGGTCCATAGTTTTCATGGCTTTTCCAAAGGAGTCTGTGATCCTAGAAAGGTTACACATCCCCGATGTTAAAGGGCCTATCCAGAAGGGAAAGGCCAATGGTTACCACGAATAATCAGAAATAGGACTTGGAAGGTTGACCTGTGAGCAGGAAGGCGGCCCTCTGCTCATCGCACCGGACTTACCTTCCCCTTCCCCAGGGTTTATTCTTTTTTTAAAATATATATATATTTTATTGATTTTTTTTACAGAGAAAAAGAGAAAGGGATGTAGAGTTAGAAACATCGATGAGAGAGAATCATCGATCAGCTGCCTCCTGCACACCCCCTACTGGGGACGTGCCCGCAACCAAGGTACATGCCCTTGTCTGGAATCCAGTCCGCAGGCCGACGCTCTATCCACTGAGCCAAACCGGTTTCGGCTAAGCCTAAATTCTTGATCTTTGCTCCTGATAAGATTGCCTGTGCAGGTGTAGCCGCCAGTTAGCGGGGCGTGAGCAGAACAGGAAGGCGGGGCCAGGTGCAGAGGGTCTCCAGAGCCTAATGGGCTTACCTAAAGCCCTGGCAGGACACCCCCTTTAAGTAGTAACCCCCGGAGATGGCATCTAGTTCCGCTGGTTCAGCCCCAAGCCCAGGAAAGCAGCAGAACCGGGTGGAGCCTGCCCTGGTGACATCAGCACCAGCGGCAGTGACTGATGACCCCTCCCCTGCAGGGCCAATCAGTGGAGACCAGGACCCTGAGGAGAGACACGGTTAGAAAGCTGATGAGTATTCTCCTGAGACCCTCCAGGGACCTCAGACAGAAAGAGCACTCTCGGGCCTGCTATGTTTGTGCTGGAGTTGTTTGCAACCCCCAAGGGGGGGAAGCCAAGTGGCAACTGAATGTTAATGATGTGTTTTGACTCCTTCAATAAAAGCATGGCAGGCCTAAGTAATCTGCCAGGGTGGGTGACAGGGCGTCACAGAAAGGACGTGATTTGCACGGAGCTGGGAGGCCAGGCTGTGGGAGGGCACTCAAGGCAAAGGTGCCAGCACATACAAAGTGCTAACTCAGGAGAGAGCATGTTGCCTGGGAAGTGACACAGGGCTTGGCACACCCTGAGGAATGAATGCCACTTATCCTACAGAGTGCGGATCTCCTGGGCACGAGGGAGATTTTTCACTTTATTTTAATATATTTTATTTATTTTTATTTTATTTTTTACAAAGAGGAAGGGAGAGGGATAGAGAGTTAAACACATCAATGAGAGAAAAACATCCACCAGCTGCCTCCTGCACACCCCCTACTGGTGATGTGCCTGCAACCAATGTACATGCCCTTGACCAGAATCGAACCTGGGACCCGTCAGTCCGCAGGCCGATGCTCCCTCCACTGAGCCAGTTAGGACATTTTTTTTTTTTTTTAGGACATTTTAAAAAAAATTTTATCCTCACCTGAAGATGTTTTTCCATTGATTTTTAGAGAGAGTGGAAGAGAGAGGGAAAGACTAGAGAAAAATATCAACGTGAGAGAAACACATGGATTGGTTGGCCTTCTGCACATGCTGTGCCCGGGGCTAGGCCAGGGAGAGACTGCAACAGAGGTACATGCCCTTGACCAGAATTGAACCTGGGACCATTCAGTCCGCAGGCCAACGGTCTATCCACTGAGCCAAACTGGCTAGGGCAGATTTTTCTCTTTTAAACTGTCAAATGCTACCCCTTGGAAAACTAGCCGCCAGGCTGTCCCTGAGGACCTTAGGGGCAGGAAAGCTGGAGTGACAAGAGGTAAAGTCCCTTGTGGGCTGGATGGTTCTGGGTAGCTGAACCAACCTGTGCTGCAGAGCCGGCCCTAACCACTGCCTGAGGTCAGCCCTGTGAGATGGCAGGAACCCTGTCCCCATATGCCTGAGCCCAAGGTCACTTTGCCAACAACTGGATAAGAACCCAGTCCTTCCAGCTCCCATTGGTCTTCATTCAAAATCCAGACAGGCTCTCTTATAAGCTTGTAGCCAGCCATAGACACTAAGGTACATGCTGGTTTGTCTCATTTCACCCAGGAGAGGAGATGCATGAGCTAAGAGGGAGATAGGCAGCATGTAGGCAAGAGCACAGGTTTGGAAGAAAGGCTGCTGTTCACATCCCATGTCAGCTGCACTCTGCAAACCCAATTAATAGACCTAGAGGGCTCTCACCCTGCAGGAAGGTGTTGCAATAGTGCCCTCTTGTGGACATTCTGAAATGAGTTGGTATAGGTTTCACGTGCTGTTATGCTATTAGATCTGTATTACCGCCGAGACCGGTTTGGCTCAATGGATAGAGCGTCGGCTTGGGGACTGAAAGGTCCCGGGTTCGATTCCGGTCAAGGGCACGTACCTTAGTTGCGGGCATATCCCCAGTAGGAAGTGTGCAAGAGGCAGCTGATCGATGACTCTCTCTCATGGATGTTTCTAACTCTCTATCTCTCTCCCTTCCTCTCTGTACAAAAATCAATAAAATATATTTAAAAAAAAAAAAAATCTGTATTACCTCTGGCCCCTTTGAGAATATCTGGCTGGAAGCTCTGTGTGGGGGCAGAATCTTAACTACCAGAATCAGGAGGGCTCTATTCTGTGTTGCCAACATCCACACTGCAAGTCCTAGATGACCTCAGATACTGAGTTCAGTCACATTAGAGAAAAGCCTTACTGTTTCCTGTCTGGGAAAAATGTTACCTATACTTTGCAAACTTGACCTCAGATACTGAGTTCAGTCACATTAGAGAAAAGCCTTACTGTTTCCTGTCTGGGAAAAATGTTACCTATACTTTGCAAACTTGAGTGCAGAGAGGTAGGGCAATGGGTTGGAGCAGTTATCCCCCCTTCCCTGCCCCAGGTTCTGTGGGTCTGTTTATTATATACTGGCAGATACCAAAGAATGTTGTAAAATATGTGTAGGGCACACAAATAACAAGACATCCATAGACTCATTAACCCATTTTAGTTGCCTGTTCTTCCTCCTACCTTCTCCCATAATGAGTTTGAGTTTGAGCCCAGTTTCCTTGGGTTTTTTTCAAGCCAACTGGCTCCAACCTCCTCTTTTTATATATATATATTGATTTTGTACAGAGAGGAAGGGAGAGGGATAGAGAGTTAGAAACATCAATGAGAGAGAGTCATCGACCAGCTGCCTCTTGCACACACCCCTACTGGGGATGTGCCCGCAACCAAGGCACATGCCCTTGATCGGAATTGAACCTGGGACCTTTCAATCCACAGACCAACGCTCTACCGCTGAGCCAAACCGGCTTCAGCCCCACCTCCTCTTGATTTTACTTTTTAATCCTCACCCAAGAATACTTTTTCCATTGATTTTTAGGGAGATTGGAAGAGAGGAAGAGACAGAAACATCAATGTGAGAGAAACACATCGATTGGTTGCCTCCTGCATAAGCCCAAACCAGGGCCTGGGTCAGAGAGGAGCCTGCAGCCACCCTGACCCCTCCTTATCATCGGAACAAATGCGAGGCATTCCTGAGCCCCTCCCTTCTAAGGCACCACTGCCCAGGGCACTTGGCCTGGCATTCCACCTCAGACACATGGGTACAGAAGGTCCATCTTTGCCTTAACCATGCATGCTGGCTTCCCAAATATTGATTAAGCCTCCTCCACGCAGGCAGCTAGGGGACCATCAGGATCTCCTTCATCAGGACAGAGGGAACGAGGCAGGGAAAGGAACAGCCGGAGTGCCAGGATGTTTGTGCTCCACTGTCCGCTGGTGTTTATTGTTCTACGATGGTGTTGGCTGGCTGGCTTCTACATCTCCTCCTCCTGTGGCTGGCTGGCTTCTACGTCTTCTCCCCGTCAGTCTAGAGTGGTTGTGACCCTGAGGCGGTGGAGCTTCTATTTTGATTAGCACGGCTGGATTTTCCTTTTAGGATGGAATCAACCTTGCGTGCACGCATACTGTCCAGGTACTGCCGGACACTCAGGAATTCCCGTTTCCAGCGCCCCAGCTTTCTGAACTGGTCCACCAAGAACTTTTTTTTCAGGTGGTCATACAAGTGGCTCATCTTTTTCTTGGTCTTATCTACAGTTTTCATCTTACAGAAAAACAAATGAGGTTAGGATGAAGAAATTACTAACAAGAGAGGCATCTGTGCTGCTGCTATGAGTGAGGGTGACAATATGCCAGCCTATTTCCCTGTTGGTAAAATGTGGGCGTTGAGCTAGATTAGTGGTCGGCAAACTCATTCGTCAACGGAGCCAAATACCGACAGGACAACGACTGAAATTTCTCTGGAGAGCCACATTTTTTAAACTTAAAACTTCTTCTAACACCACTTCTTCAAAATAGACTCGCCCAGGCCGTGGTATTTTGTGGAAGAGCCACACTCAAGGGGCCAAAGAGCCACATGTGGCTGGCGAGCCGCAGTTTGCTGACCACGGAGCTAGATAAATTCTATGGCACCTTCTGAGAGTCTGCAGCCTTAGCCGCTGATTTTGACCTTAACACCTCTGGTAAGAAAGAGGTGGAGAATGGGTGTGTCTTGTTCTCTCCTCTCCCCGTTCCGTAACTCCTATTACTGTCCCCATTACTCACTCAGTGCTTCCCACATATTGTAATGTGACATTCCCCACATCACTTTGAACTCTAGTTATTTCTTCTAGTATATCCTTTTTTGTCCTGTCCCCATGACTATAAGCTCTGGGAAGGCACATCCTCTACCTCACCCGTTCATTTATTTACCCCAATGAGCCGGCTGCGGAGAGGACACAAAGAAAAATCAGCTGCATATCTTCACAGAAATTACAACACAGTCAGAAAGATGGGACACAAGCCCAGATATTTCTAAGCAAGGCAGACAGTGATGCATCCCTTTAAAAAAAAACAAACGAGTTCAGACCTAACCGGCTTGGCTCAGTGGATAGAGCATCGGCCTATGGACTCCAGGATCCCAGGTTCAATTCCGGCCAAGGGCATGTACCTTGGTTGCGGGCACATCCCCCGAAGGAGGTGTGCAGGAGGCAGCTGATCAGTTTCTCTCTCATCTCTCATCGATGTTTCTAACTCTCTATCCCTCTCTGTAAAATATCAATAAAACATATTTAAAAAACAAAAAACAAGACAGAGTTCAAATAAAGGAGATAGCAAGAAAAGTCCCATGGAGGGTTGCAATAAAAATTGGGGGGTTGGGTATTGAAGGCTGGGGAAGTGTTGGGCATGTTGAAACAGAACTAGACAAGAGGTCATCCTATTTCTACGATTGCAGGTCACTGGAAGCTTAGCAGCTGGAAAAACACCCAGGCCTCTCCTCTCTCTTAAGCCTCCCTCTCTCTCCAGTGTCAGAATCCCATGAGCCCATCCTCCTGGAACACGGAGGGAAGCTCAACAGAGTCAAGAAGGCGGCAGCTCAATTCCGGGCTGATCGGCCACAAGATCCAGCACATGAAATCCTTTCCCCAGGCGCCATCAGCACAGGAACAGCGGTGACACCCTGGGCAAGTCAGTCACCCCGAGTTTCAGTCTCCTCCAGAACACGGGACTTGCGTGAGAGCACCTTAGTGACTCCCCATCCCCTCTAAGACCTGGGAAACACGTGACCCCCTCCCCCCCCAAGGAATCAGGGAGAGTAAAATGGACCTGGGTCAAGCCACTAACACCCTCTGACAAAAGCTCGTGAGGACTTTACCTCCATTTCATAGATTCGCTGTGCACTGAGGTTGTCACGAATAATCACCCGAGACAAGTGGCTCTTGGGTAAAAATTTGGTCACGGCTGCTTCGCTGGAATTCATTAAGCTGGAGGGGGGCAGAGGAAGGCGGGAACATGTTAAGATGGCTGAGGCCTCCCCAGGTTTCCTGTCATAATTGTCGTCAGCGAAGCAAGGGAGGCCTAGCTCTCTTCTCGTGGAAAAACGTGCGCTGAAGAAAAACGTGCGCTGAAGGGGTAGTTTCTTGCCTGCTGAGAGGAAAAGCCATCCCGAGAAGGATGTAGAAAGGACAGTCCACAAGAGAGTGGACTGTCTGCTGGAGCGGCCATCTTAAGGAGAAAATGCGGGAGATGGGAAGTGGGGGGGGGGGGGGGGTCTTTGAGAAGAGGAGCAAAAGTTGTAGGGCAGGGTTCGAAGGGCTGAATGTGAGGGGCGCTGAGGTGGGGGCACTTGCTCCAGAGCCTAGACCTTAGGCTAAGGTGACTCAAGAGTCCCAGGTTCGATTCCGGTCAAGGGCATGTACCTCGATTGCCGGCACATCCCCAGTGGGGGGTGCGCCGGAGGCAGCTGATCGATGTCTCTCTCATCGATGTTTCTAACTCTCTACCTCTCTCCCTTCCTCTCTGTAAAAAATCAATTAAAAAAAAAAAAAAAAAAAAAAAGAGCCAGGCTCTGGGAGTGACAGCGCCGGGCCCCGGGGCCACTGAGGGGGCGGGGGTCTGAGGGAGTTGGGGCTCCCTCCAGGGCCCCCCCCGTTGGTGTCTGACACACGCTCCGAACACCCGGGCCGCCCGCACCTGAAGAGCACGAGCGGCTGCGAGGTCCGCGGCCGCAGGAAGCAGATCTGCGGCTGGGCCCCGAGGTTGATCTCGGGGCGGCTGACCAGCCTGTGGCGCTGGAACGCGGCTGAGGCGGGGTACGCGCCCCCGGTCTTCTTGGAGGCGGCCGCGCCGGTGCTGGACGAGGCTAAGTTCCAGGAGACCGAGGGCCTGTGCTGCTGGGCGGCCTCGTTCTCCGCGCCCGGGGGCGCCTCAGGCGGAGGAGGAGGCTGGCTGTCGGCCATGCTCCCGGGGCGCGCGCGGACGTGGAGTGAGCCCCCGCGCAGGCGCAGTGCGCCGAGGTGGGCTCGTTGCCCCGGAAACGAGGGAGGGGGCGGGGCCGGGAGGACCGGAAGCACGCGGTACCCGGCAGGCGGCGGGCCCGGCGGGATTGTCCCTCGGCGGCTGCCGTAGCGGGAGCGGGTGCGTTGCCATGGGGACGAGCTAGGCCGCTGGAGCGGGCTGCGCGGGCCGAGTGGACCCTACTTTTCGACTTGGTCCCCGCGTGATCGCGGGGCGGGTAACCGGGTGAGTCCGGGCGGGGCGGCTCCAGGGCTGGGGAGACGAGGCCGTGGTGTCTTCGAAGACGCGGCATGGCGGATTTCTTCCCGGATGAGGGGCCGTTACTATGGAAGCCGTTACTGCGGGGCGGGAGTGGGGAGGCCTCGGTGATCGGTTTTCTTTCATCGAGACCTCCGTCCGAGGCTCCGGGCGCCGTTGCTTTCTGAACGAACCTGCGCTCTGAGGTGAGACCATTAGGGTCTTGATACCCAAGCAGATAAGAAGCCCATTTGCTGCGCCAACTTCCTAAGAAACCTGTCTGGCTCTACCCTGGAAGTGGCGCCTCCCTCCGGCCAACCCGCGACCTTCGTCCCTCATTTATAATGCCTCAGCGTTAACGTGCGCCTCGCGGTGTTTGCCCTCTTTCCCCCACACCTACTGAGACCACAAAGGCCGGCTTTCGGACTAAGCCCACTGCCCTCTGGGTTTTTGGATGAGGACGACCCGGAACATTTAGGCTGCCGGCTGGGCTGGGAGAGGGGGGGCTTTTCCCCCGCCCTCACGTGATCTTTGGAACAAACAACCCACCCCATCCCTTGGCAGGTAGCACTTGCCTGTGCAGCCTTTGTCCTTCCTCTCCAACGGCCTAGGAACCACACTCCTTCCACCCGGCCCCTCCCCAAAATTCTAGAGAAGCGCAGCCAGAGAACTCATCCTTGCCAGATTCCTCAGAAGGAAGAGCCCTAGCTGTTGGACACACTCCCTCCGTTCCAAATATTTATCAGGCGCCTCCTGGTGGAGACAGAGCGGTAGGAGTGACGAGAGACACAGTGACGTCCCAATAGAACTCCCAGGTCGTAGCAAAGCCACGTCTCCAGGGAGGCTCCGGAAGGAGAGAGAGCCCTTAGGGCTCAGAAAGCCGGGAGCTGGGACAATCAAACGTAGGGGAGGAGTGACCCGTGGCTAAGACTGCAGGCTCACCGGTCCTCTGCTGGATGTCACAGAGGGGGTTCCGACCAGCTTGTAAGGAAAGGGTCTGAGCCAAAACCGGTTTGGCTCAGTGGATAGAGCGTCAGCCTGCGGACTGAGGAGGTCCCAGGTTCGATTCCGGTCAAGGGCAGGTACCTTGGTTGTGGGCACATCCCCAGTAGGAGGTGTGCAGGAGGCAGCTGGTCGATGATTCTCTTTCATCGATGTTTCTAACTCGCTATCCCTCTCTTCCTCTCTGTAAAAAATCAATTTTATATATATATTTAAAAAGGGACTGCGAGCAGCAAAGGCCAGACAGGACCAGATGGCCACATGGAACTGCCAGTGGCTTAGGCCAGCGGGGGGCCTTCAGGACACAGGGAAGGCTAACGGGGGGCCGGAGAGGTGGGTAGCAGCCGGGTGTAAATAGCCTTGACCGCTAAGCTGAGGGACTCCATCTCCTCCTGGCAGTAGGCAGTAGACAGCCACTGAAATACACTGAGCAGGGGCGTAGAGCTTCAGCTCCCTGTATGTCTGTGCCGGATGAAGACTGCCGTTTGGCTTGAGAGGTGCGCTCTAGATCCGAATGTTCCCGTTTCAGTGAGACGTGTGGGGATGTGCTATTTTTATAGCCTTGTTCACGACTGAGAGAGTACGGGACCTGGATTTCTTAGTGGAAGCTGGGGTTCTGCCCTGCTTTGGGGTCCATGGCACAGTCCTGCTGTACACCGCATCACTTGGCGTGGCCTGTCTACCTGAAGCCCCTCTGCCGCTCTGCACTTGCCTCTGGGTGTTGCTGGGGGGGGGGGGGGGGCGCGGGCGGGGGGTACAGTGATGCCCTTGTGCTGGCTTCCAGGAAGCTTCCAGCGACTCTCTTCCCCAGGCCGTCCTCAGAGGCGATGTGCGGCAATGTGTGGCAATGACGTAGGACTGTTGCGCATGGGCACATTTTATCTCTTTAAAGAGAAGGTTCTTGCCCTGGCTGATATGGCTCAATAGCTAGAGCGTCAACCTCTGGACTGAAAGGTCCTGAGTTTTGATTGCTGTCAAGGGCACATGTTCGGGTTGTGAGTTCAATCCCCAGTAGAGGTGTGCATGAGACCGATCAATGTTTCCTCTCATCATTGATGTTTTTCTCTCTCTCCCTCTCCCTCTCTGAAATCAATTTTACACACACACACACACACACACACACTTTTTAAAAAAGATGGTTCTTGGAGAGGGGAAGCTAAGACCCTCCTCTCTCTTGATACAACCAGTGGCTCCCAGCACAGTGGGCTCTGGCTCCATGTCCCTGGTTCAGAAGCTCGTGGTTTGACCGTAAAGTCGGAGGAGGAGGGAGCTGTGGGGGTGGTTCCCGGTAGGGGGCTGGAGGACAAAGGATATTGACGAGGACAGAGAAGGGGGCTTTGGGAGCCTAGTGGGGAGCTAGGCCAAGGCTCCGCTACAGGACCCAAGTCACCCCAACTAAAAATGGGGGGCCCCAGCGGGGAAGTGCCAGGCTCAGGGCGTTGTCCTCTGTCCTCATTGCACATGAGGTCTCCTGGAGACTTGCTGAACAGACAGACTCCCGCTCCGCACCCCAGATCCTGCTCCGTGGGTTTGAGGAACAGCCTGGGGCTCTGCGTTTTTAATAAGTTCCCAGGAGCCCCTGGGGGAATCCCGCTATGGGCTCATCCATCCATTTCCCAGAAATTCCCTGGGGTTGGCCTGCTGGCCCCGCGGGCGTCCTGCCCTCTAAGCATCCTCTCCCTCCTGGCAGTTTTCCATGGGCACAGCCTAGCGGAAAGATGCGGCCTGCCTGGCTCCCCGGCCGCTGACCCGCCGGCCCGATGACCACACTCCCAGGGGGGCCCCCGCTCCGGTTCCCGCAGCCCTCGGTCAGCGGCCTCTCGCAGATCACCCGCAGCCTGTATATCAGCAACGGGGCGGCCGCCAGCGACAAGCGCCTGCTCTCCCGGAGCGGCATCACCTCGGTCGTCAACGTCTCCACGGAGGTGGCGAGCGCCCCGCACGAGGACGTCCAGTACGTGCAGGTGCCTGTGGCCGACACGCCCACGTCGCCCCTCTGCGACTTCTTCGACCCCATCGCCGACCACATCCACGCCGTGGAGGCCAGGCAGGGCCGCACGCTGCTGCACTGCGTCGCCGGCGTGAGCCGCTCGGCCGCCCTGTGCCTGGCCTACCTCATGAAGTACCACGCCATGTCCCTGCGGGACGCCCACGCCTGGGCCCGGGCCTGCCGGCCCATCATCCGGCCCAACAGCGGCTTCTGGGAGCAGCTCATCCGCTACGAGTTCCAGCTGTCCGGCCAGAACACCGTGCGCATGGTCAGCTCCCCGCTGGGGAGCATCCCCGACGTCTACGAGGAGGAGGTTCGTTTAATGATTCCACTGTGAGCCCTGCCTCCGGCCCCGCCCCCCTATCGGGTGAGGGCCGTGCAGATCTGCCGTGGGTCCCGCGCTGAGGTCTGAACTCACACCCGCTGCTCTGTGCTGCAGGAAAACACAGGCGATGCCTTTTCCCGGAGCAATAAAAAAGGAGGCGTGCCGGAGCTCTCTGCCTGTAATCCGTCTCTTTAAGGATGAAACTAAGTGTGAAATGGTGCAGATCAGGAGTGACGGGTCTCGGCCACCGGCCAGAGGGGAGGGTGAGGAAGGCAGGTGGTGCTGGGTCAAACGGACAGGAGCCCAAAGCGAAGCTGGAATCAGCTGGCCCAGGCCGGAGTGCCACAGGTCCACCTACCTCGTTCTTTCAGACCCAAGGGCCTTAAGCATCATGGCGCCGCCTTGCTGACCCTGCTGGCTAAGGGACCGGCCATGTGCTCTGGGAACCCTAGGGCTCCGGGCCAGGGCCCCTCCCACCTTCAACCACAGACCCCGCTCCGGTGTTCCGGGTTTGATGGATGCGTATGATAATTTTCAAAGAGAGCGTTCCACCATATAACGTGTTTTTTAAACTTTTTTTTTTCCAATGCCATTGTATTATACATGGGGTCTGAAAGCGCCCCTGGCGCCCCCCACTGGCCTTTGCCGGAAGCGGCATTCGTTTCTGCAGGGCCCAGGCGGGGAGCAGGCTGCCAGCTGCCCCGGGTCCTCTCCCAGGCCTGGCTCAGGAGCCTGGAGCTGCAGACCCACACCCAGCCTGTAGCAGCGGCGCCATGTCCTTTTTTCTCTTCCTCTGGTCACTGGCCCCAGAGCAGATCCGTTCGCAGAATGCATGCGGCCGGGTAAGGCGAGTGAGGGCCCTGCTTCTAGCTGGAAGCCTAGAGAATGAATGAAGGGTCTTCAAAACTGCAGAGTGGGGGAGGTCTGGAGCGGCGGGAGCTTGAGAAATGGATCCCCGAGAGTTGCAAGTTTCAACTTCAGCCTGAGGCTTACGGCGGGGATGGGGGGGCGGGGGGGGGGGGGGGGGGGACAGGGCCAGATGGAAAAAAAAGAATCATTTCCCTCATTCTGTCTGTCCTAAAGCCATAATGCTTTCAGGCATAATGTTTGGGGATAATTTGTTGCCCCAATGCTGCTATGAGCTGGACCCAAGACACTGCTCCCGTCCCCTGCTCACCGGGACGGCAGCCATAGCTCTTCCCTGGCTCCCTGCCCCTTCCATGACTCCTCCACCGGGACGTAGACCGCACTGGAAATGTTTCTCCAACAGCGTGGCTCTTGCCTGCCGCTCAGAACCTCTGTGGCTCTCCGTGGCGTTTGGTGGTGTTCCCAGGAAGTGTCTGCATGCGGGCGGGGAGAGCGTGAGCTTAGAGTCCTTGTCTGCCCTGGCCCCCGGAATGGCCACCCGAGGGCCCCTCGGGGAGGGCGGGAGGGGCCCCCGCAGCTGAGGCTGAGACAAGGCCACAGCTTTGTTCTGGACTCACAATGGCAGGATGCCCAGCGCAGAGCCAGCTTCCCCGGCTTCCTCCAAGGCAGGGCACGGTGGCGGGAGCGGGGTGCCCGCTCCGCAGCCCTGGGGCCCGCCCTGTGCACTGACGGCTGGGGGTGGGCAGCCTGAGAAGCCGGGGGAGGAACTGGACAGCAGCATCTGGAGTGAGCCCGTCTCCTAACTTTCCTCGAAGGCCTGTTAGGTTCCAGACTCTGTCGCTAAGCCCTTGGAGCCTCCCGGAGGGAGATGGGGTGAGGGTCTGTGGCTGCCCCCACTTCACAAACAGAGGCACCGGAGGGGAAGGCCCCGGCCCAGGGCCACACAGCTTAAAACCTGCCAGAGCTGGGATTTGAACCCGCTCTGGCCCCTGCTCTTGGCTAATGGTCTCTCTGGCTGCTTCATCCAAGTCCATGCTGGGGAGATGGCAGTGAGGAGAACAGTGGCCTCGGCCTTCCCCAGCCCGGCCCGGTGGAGGAGGGTGGGGAGGGGGGAAACCAGCACCGAGAACGGAATGTGCACAGGGCCTGGCCTGCAGACGCGCAGGGACCTGCGGGTGACCTTTAACTCGCGTGGCCTGGGGCAGAGCAGGGCTGAGGGTGGGGGAGAACTGCCCAAGGAAGGTGACGTCTGTTATCCCAAGTCCCGAGGAGGCTCCGCCCACCCAGAGCCATCCATCCTTTGGCCCAACTCACCAAGCTTCAGACTGGACACCGGGGGTGCCGAGTGACACCAGGACAGGGCTGGGCCTGGGCGGCTCTGAGTCACAGGGAGGGAGGGTGGTGAGTGACTCAGCCGGGGCCCACTTCCCTCTGCGAGGCCAGCCTGGGTGGAGGCAGGGCCGGGAAACCCCGCGTCTGTCCTTCCTGGGCCAGGGGACGCCCAGGCCTTCCCTGCCCCCGACCCCAGCTGTGGGCTCCGCAGCCCTGTCCCGCACTGGCCGGCAGGCGGGCCTGCGGGAGTTCTGGCTGTGAGGAGACATGATTTCCTCCAGCCCCACCTGGTCTAGCTCCTCCTCACTAAGCAAGCAGGGCTGGCCTCCACTTTCCAGCTGGGCCTGGAGCCTCAGAGAAAGTGGGTGAAGAGATGATAGCCCAAGATGGGGGCCAACCCAGCTGACACCATCACCCCCTCCTCTGGCCCTGCCCAGCGGGCTTCTCCCTGGAACCGTCTCGTTGGGGATCGTCGCCCCCATTTTGCAGATACAGAAACTGAGGCTCAGGGAAGGGCGGCCAGCTCCCTAAGATACACAGTGAGGCGGGCAGAGCAGGATTCCCCCTCATCCAGGCAGGGTCCCTGCAGTTTTGGTTTTTGTTTCGTTTTTAATCCTCACCTGAGGATATTTTCCCATTGATTTTTAGAGAGAGTGGAAGGAGGGGGAGAGAGAGAAACATCAATGTGAGAGAGACGCATCGATTGGATGCCTCCCGCATGGGCCCCAACCAGGGCCGGGGATCCAGCCTGCAACTGGTGGATAGAGCGTCAGCCTGCGGACTGAAGGGTCCCAGGTTCGATTCCAGTCAAGGGCATGTACCTTGGTTGCGGGCACATCCCCAGTGGGGGGTGTGCAGGTGGCAGCTGATCAATGTTTCTCTCTCGTCCCTCTCCCTTCCTCTCTATAAAAAAAAAATCAATAAAAACATTTTAAAAAAATTAAACGAGATCATTGAGGGTGGTCTGGAACAGATGAATTTACATTATTTCTAGGGGGAGGGCAAAAATGATTTGATTTTCGAACAACCTTCCGGAACAAATGAATTTCGGGAACCGAGGTCCCACTGTATTTCCTGGGCCGTCACCCCGACGAATGACACAGGGGTACAAGCAAAAATAGTTTATTTGAGGACGGAAGACCCCAAACCGGAGGGCCTGGGGACGAGGCTACAGCAGCTGCCAGAAGTTGGCACAGGTGACCCCCCCCACCCCCCTGCCAGGGGAGCCCAGCAGCAAGAAGCCCGGCCTGGGCCCCCCCCCCCCCCCCCCCCCGGCTGCCTGCCCCGCTCCAACCGCCGGAATTGTCATTGCCATCGCCGTCGGAAACGGAGAGGTGGTGGAGTTTGGCCACAGTGTTGGGTGTCGTCGTCGATATCAATAATGATCACTCTGACAAGCACAGTGGCTGTGCCAGGCGTGGACCCACCATCCAGTGGTGAGCGGAGCCTGGGGTGGGAGGAGGCAGGCAGGGACAGCGGGCCTTGCCCAGCGGCTGCCTGCTCTCGGCTTGTCCCACGGCCACCGGCCAGGGTCGGGTCCAGGCTGCGGGGGGGCTGTCCCAGACGGCCCACGCGTTCCCCCGGGCCTCAACGACCCTTGCCAGGCTGCCCCCTCCGCCAGACGCCCCAGCGGGCAGCCCAGGAGGCCACGACCTCGCAGTTGTGGTACAGGAACATCCCCGTGAGGGTGAGCGCGATGCCCACGTAGCTGAGGGCGCTGAGGTGGCTGCCGAACAGGAGCCGGGACAGCACGAGGTTGCCCACGACGGTGAGGTTGCCCAGGACGTGGACGGTGAGGGCGGAGGTGAGGGCCAGCAGAGAGAAGCTGGCCAGGTTGTAAAGCACGGACAGGAGACAGCTGAGCAGGATGCAGGCCCAGAGGCGGGAGTCGGCGGGCGCGGGCGACAGGGCCACGCCGGCCTCCAGCACCAGGGCGGCGCCGGCCAGCAGGCAGAAGCTGGGCAGCGAGGTGGCATAGAGCAGGGTCACCGCGTCCAGCCGCTCCTCCTGCAGCAGGGCACCTGCAGGCGGACAGCACACGTCAGCGTCAGCTGGGAGGAAACCCCGTTTCGCCGGCCCAGCCTGCCCCCCTCGGCCCGACCCCAGCAAGCCTGCCCAGCCTCTCGGGCAGGGTCCGTGGCTCCCGCTCTGGAAGGTGACAGTCACGAGGCCAGAATCCCGCTGCCTGGGTGGTGCCCTCACTGGCTGTGACCTGGCACTGGACCTCTGCAGGCCGAGGTTTCCTCCCCTGCAGGTGAGGTGATGATAGAACCTAAGACGGCCCAGCTGGCATGTGGAGCGTCGACCTATGAACCAGGAGGTCTCCATTCAATCCCGGTCAGGGCACATGCCCGGGTTGTGGGCTCGATTCCCCAGTGTGGGGCGATGTTTCTCTCTCTCTCCTTTCCTTTCTGAAATAAAAAATATATATATATATTTTAAAATAATAATAATAATTAAAAAAAACTAACACGCAGGGGTTTTTATAAAGATTACAATAGATAACATGCATAAAGCCCTTTCAAGGTAAGTGCTCAGTAGATGTAAAAAAAATAAATTAAGTGAGCCTAATGTTGCCCACTTCAAACTGCTTCCCCTAGGCTAAAACAACAACCCACAAGTGATATCCAAATAACCAATAAACATAAAATGTGGCTCCCAGAAATATCTCCAGGGGCTTCCCAGGCCCTGGGGAGCAATATCCTAGGTTCTTTTTTAAATATATATATATATATATATATAGATTTCAGAGAGGAAGGAAGAGGGAGAGAAACATCAATGATAAGAATCACAGATCAGCTGCCTCCTGCACATCCCACACTGGGTATCGAGCCCACAACCCGGGCATGCGCCCTGACCTAGAATCGAACCGTGGCCTCCTGCTTCATAGGTCGATGCTCAACCACTGAGCAGCACCGGCCGGGCTGTCCGAGGTTCTTCACCGGTGTAGAAGGCCCTGCACCAAGTGGTCCTGACCCGCCTTTTTGATCTCAGCCCTTATCACACCCACTACCCCACAGTGTATTACCACCACCACAGCAGGACAGTCCAGCAGAAGTCCCCAGTCTGCCACTAATAGCTACATGACCTTTATATTTAAAAAGAAAAACAGAACTGTAAACTATTAAATTGCTTGAGTCAAATGCGGGGTCCACTCATTGCTTCATCCACATATGACCACGGGCATGATAAGAGAACAACAGAAGAGTCATTGTTTGCACGTGGCTGCGTCTGGGGTTTGTCGGGGTGGACCCAGGAGTGAGAGGAAACCTTTCAGCTTTGCAAAGAAAGCGGGGAGCCTGGCCGGTGTGGCTCAGTGGCTGAGCATCGACCTATGAACCAGGAGATCCCAGGTTCAATTCCCGGTCAAGGCACATGCCCAGGTTGTGGGCTCGACCCCCAGGGTGGGGCATGCAGGAGGCCACCCACTAATGATTCCCTCTCATCATTGATGTTTCTATCTCTCCCTCTCCCTCCCTTCCTCTCTTAAATCAATAAAAATATATATTTTTTAAAAGAAAAAAGAAAGAACGGGTTCTACCACCTTGCGTATGCGTGAACATGTGTGTGGATATGTGTGGATAGGCGTGCACATGTCATCACCCCGCCAGTTCACACAGGAAGTGGTGCCCCTCATCCAAGTCCGACCATGGTAGATAGTATCTGCATGAAGGCAGCGATGGTTTGGGGACCCGTCCACGTTCCAGCAGAGAGAGATGAGCAATCGGTTCCGGGTTCTCCTCCCTGCATGCATCTTCTGACACACCCTTTCCAAACAGCCACCGAGACGCTTACTCACGGGCCACGCTCAGAATAGGAAATCTCTGTTTCACTCTGATGTTTTGGCTCTGTTCTCTAGGCAACCGTCCCTCTGGCTAGAGCATTTCTAGAAATGAACAGATAATTGGAATACCTCCTGCCCGCTCGCTCGCTGGCTCCAAATATAGCAGCACCGTTAGGAGCTGCCCGGGGCTGGCGTGCTCCAGGCCCAATCGCCAGAAGGCGGTTAGGATTTCAGGTGCGAGACAATCAGGTGGGAGGGTCCTGGCCTCTTCACCCAGCCTCTGCCCCTGCTCTGCATCTCCCCCAGCCCTCTGCCTCGCCTCCCTGCAGCCCAGGGAAAGCGGGGTGACCCCCAAAGCGCCAACCCCCTCTCCTTCCCCACAACCTTCCATTCCAACCTCTTCTTCTCCAAAGACATTTTTTAAAATATATATATTTTTTATTGATTTTTTACAGAGAGGAAGGGAGAGGGACAGAGAGCTAGAAACGTCAATGAGAGAGAAACATCGATCTGCTGCCTCCTGCACACCCCCCCACCGGGGATGTGCCCGCCACCAAGGCACATGCCCCCGACCGGAATCAAACCCGGGACCCTTCAGTCCGCAGGCTGACGCTCTATCCACTCGGCCACACTGGTTTCGGCGCCAAAGATATTTTTGTTTCGGCATCTGGGCACACCAGGCTCTGCTGCATGCGGACAGACATGTTCTCTAGACCCTGCTCTGCCGGGCCTTGGCTTATCCCATGGTCCTTCCTCCCTCGCCAGCTGAGCGCTCTCAGGCCGGCCACCCTCTCGCCAAGCCTTGTCTGCGCCTGTGTAACGGGGCCACGTGAGGCGCCCAGTGGTCACTGCTTACCATGCAGCTGTCTCACCCCCCTGCCCTCTGCTCCTGTGGCCGATGCCCGTGCCCTGGCACAGCCTGTTTCCCGCTCCCACAATGCCCTTTCCTGGTTTTTCTCTGGGAAGAGCTGGGCAGAGCATGTGTTTGCTACTAACATTATTATTATTTCTTATTTTGAGAGGAAGAGAGAGGGAGAGATAGATGAGAGAGAATCATAGACGGGCTGCCTCCTGAACACCCCCCACTGGGGATGGAGCCCGCAACCCGGGCCTGTGCCCTGCATGGGAATCAAACCGTGACCTCCTGATTCATAGGTCAATGCTCAACCACCAAGCCACGCCGCCGGCCAGGCCTGTTATTATATTATTGTTATTGTCATCACTGCATGCCTCTCGCCTCAGGCAGCCTCCTCTGGTCTCCCCTACGTGTCACTGCCCTGACCACACCTGTGTCCACCTGGGCTCTGGAGTTTCTCTCCTACCATCGCCATCGCCGTTTCTGAGGGGGTCTCCCCACCAGCCGAGAGCTCAGAGGATGGGGATCCGGCCAGGCTGCTCCCCGAGGCACAGCTGGGAACAAGCTCACACCTCACTTCCTAGCCATCCCGTGAATGGGAAGCTGGCCTCTTTCCTCTCCCCACGTAGCACCCCCTCCAGCCCCCACCCCGGCCTGCAACCGGCCCATGACTGCCAGGGTCCTCCGCTTCCCGGACCACCATCCTCTGCTCCCACGGAGTCTGCTCTCGCAAAGGGAGCCGGTGTCGGCCATTTGTACTCTCACCAGAATCTTGCCCGGGCGCCTTTCCCCAACCCTCCGGAAGCAGAAACCGCCTCTTATCCAGAACCCATGTCACCCCTCTGGCTCCCGTCTCTTCCTCCCCATCTCTGCGGGCCCCCAGCCTCCTCAGCGCCCTCATGAGCACCCTGAGCCACGCACGTGGCCTCACCAGCCTGCCAACATCGCCATCAGAGTCAGTCATACATCTACCGCCAAAACCGGTGTGGCTCAGTGGATAGAGCGTCAGCCTGCGGACTGAAAGGTCCCAGGTTTGATTCCGGTCAGGGGCATGTACCTTGGTTGCGGGCACATCCCCAGTAGGGGGTGTGCAAGAGGCAGCTGATAGAAGTTTCTAACTCTCTATCCCTCTCCCTTCCTCTCTGTAAAAAATCAATAATATATATGATTACAGATTTTTTACAGAGAGGAAGGGAGAGGGATAGAGAGTTAGAAACTTCTATATATTTAAAAAAAATACATCTACCACTCAAGGTCCCAGGCCAGGTGCTGGGACATGGAGAGGCCCCAACCCAGCCCATGCCCCTCAGAGCTCCTGTCTGCCGGGACACAGGCTGGTAACCAAGTGGCTGTAAGAGGGAGCGCTCAGAGGCCTGACGGGGGGTGTGGAGGGTGCTGTGGGAGCCGGGAGCAAGCACCCAGCCCACCCCCGGGGCCACGCAGTGGGCACGGGAGAGATGGAGGAGCTGGCAGAGGCCAAGCAGGGGCCTGATGCCAGGCACCCACCCCTCGGTGCCTGGGTGCCTAGGTTCCAGCCGGCCGCACCCCCTCTGCAGGCGGGCGCTCCTTGTGGGTGAGGAGCGTGGGGCGGGGTGAGCCTCAGGGCTGGAGCCTTCCCGGCCTGTGGGCTGGGAGGTGGGGAGGTGGTGTGCCCAGGGGGTCAGGTTTCCCGCCGTCTCCTCATGCCCAGAACGCGGGCCTGAGTCCGGCACCGGCTCTCACGTAACCTGAGGGCAAAAATAGAACACGGCTCCAGCCTTGCCCCAGAGCCCGGCGAACGGGGACAGGGCTTGCCTCTGAGGATGCCAGGGCAGGGCCGGGTCCCGGCTGCAGCCTCCCGTGGCGGCAGGTCGCCCCAACCCCGGCCTAGTGCCCTTGAGCACCACTTCCTTCTCGCAGGACCCCAGGGTGGGAAGGGACGGAGGGCAAGAGGCCCTGCTGATGCTTCCAACCCGTCTCCACCTAATCTGGGGAAACTGAGGCCCCGACAGGACCCAGACCTGGTCACCCCATGTGAGCAGAGGGTGGTCTCCTGGCCTCGAGTGGGTGCCCCGGCCTCCCCCATAGGTCCCTTGGGCTGAGGCGAAGGGCGTGGGGGTGTGACTCAGCCGCCCCTTAGAGGGACAAGCAGGAAGGCAGGCTCCACCCTCAGGCAGGGTGAGTTCCCAGGATCTCCGCATGGAGCCTCCACAGCCCTCTGCTCAGACCCTGCCTGTCTCCTGTCAGCAGAGGTGAGGCAACCCCGAGCCAACCACAACCCTCCCTGGTCTCAGTTCCATCATCTATAAAATGGGAGTAGCCCTGACCGGTGTGGCTCAGTGGGTAGAGCTTCGGCTTGCGGACCGAAGGGTCCCAGGTTCGATTCCGGTCAAGGGCTTGTCCCTTGGTTGTGGGCACATCCCCAGTAGGAGGTGTGCAGGAGGAGGCAGCTGATGGATGTTCCTCTCTCATTGACGTTTTTTGACTCTTCCTCTCTGCAAAAAATCAATAAAATATGTCTTAAAAAATAAAATAAAATAGCTGAAACCGGTTTGGCTCAGTGGATAGAGCGTCGGCCTGTGGACTCAAGGGTCCCAGGTTCGATTCCGGTCAAGGGCATGTATCTTGGTTGCGGGCACATCCCCAGTAGGGGGTGTGCAGGAGGCAGCTGATCGATGTTTCTCTCTCCTCGATGTTTCTAGCTCTCTATCCCTCTCCCTTCCTCTCTGTAAAAAAACCAATAAAATATATTTTAAAAATAAATAAATAAAAATAAAAAATAAATAAAACAGGAGTGAAGGTGGCGGTTGCTGTGACAACTCAAGGTCAGCACCCAGCCCGCAGCCTGTCACACCGCAGCTCCCAGCGACCATGAACCCTTCCCCGCCTGAGCCAGACCCCGGCCTTCCAAAGCCCAGCAAGAGGCCTCGCCCGCTTCCTCTCACCCGGGTGCCCAGGGTCGGGTCCCCCCCTGGGGGGTCACAGCCTTACGCTGCCTCCGGGACAGCATGGAGCCTGACTGCCCGGGTTCAGATCTCCCCTCCGCTGCTCACTGGCCACACGGCCCAGAGCAACCCCTCAGGCTGTCCACTGGGGACAAGACACTGACTTCCTTGATCAGAGCAGCGTGGGGAGATCCAGTGAGATCGAGACAAGAAACCCTGGACACAGCCGAAACCGGTGTGGCTCGATGGATAGAGCATCGGCCTGCGGACTGCAGGGTCCCGGGTTCGATTCTGGTCGAGAGCATGTTGCGGGCACATCCCCGGTAGGGGCTGTGCAAGAGGCAGCTGATCGATGACTCTCTCTCATTGATGTTTCTATCTCTCTCCCTTCCTCTCTGTAAAAAAATCAATGCAATCTATTTTCTTTAAAAAGAAGAAAAAAAGAAAAGAAACCCTGGACGCAGATCCAGGGCAGCCATTATGAAACATCAGCCTAAGTCTGGGCCCCGGAACCGCTCTAAGAAGTCGGCTCTTTTTTAAAAAAAAAATATATATTTTATTGATTTTTTTACAGAGAGGAAGAGAGAGGGATAGAGAGTTAGAAACATCGATGAGAGAGAATCACTGATCAGCTGCCTCTTGCACACCCCCCACCGGGGATGTGCCCGTAACCAAGGTACATGCCCTTGACCGGAATCGAACCCGGGACCTTAAAGTCCGCAGGCCAACACTCTATCCATTGAGCCAAGCCGGTTTCGGCAGTAGTCGGCTCTTTCTGAGTTTCCTCGGTCTCTGCCTCTCCCGAAGCCGCGAGGCTCAGTGGCTTCATCTGTGAAATGGGCTAACAGCCGTCCAGACCACACACACCCGCACCCTGACTTCCCCGCCTCCCCGCACGGCAGCCCGGGCACTCACTCTGCTGGATGGACTTGAGGCCGCGGAGGCAGGTGGCGGCCAGCAGGAAGCCGCAGCCCGCGGGGGGCGCCCGGAGCTCCCCAGCCAGGCTGCAGGCGGCCCCCAGGCAGAGCGGGCCCATGGCGGCGAACTGCAGCGGGTGGTGCCGCCGGCCCAGCAGCAGCGCCGACAGGGCCAGCGTGATGAGGGGCGTGGTGGTGGTGGCCAGCTGGGCCAGGTCCAGGGGCACCGCGCTCAGGCCCAGGTTGCCGCAGGCCATGGAGGTGCCGAAGGTCAGGCTGAGCAGCAGCACCTGGCAGTGGGTGCCGCTGGGCATGGGGCGCCGGGCCCCCCGGTGGCACGCCAGCGCCGCCGCCAGCATGTGCAGGGCCGACAGTAGCAGGGGCCGCCCGAAGCCGTGCACCGTGAAGATCCACTTGTTGAGGCTGGACATGCCGGCCCCCGCCAGCAGCCACACCAGGGCTGCCGTGGCCACCCGGGCCCGGCCGGGCCGCCCGGGGGCCTCGGGGGTGTCAGGGGGCCCCGCGGGGGACCCAGTCCCCCGAGGACTGCCGGCGGCCGCCGCCGCTGTCTCCGCAGAGGTCATCCTGCTGTCATGGTGCTCCCGAAGACAACGGCACATCCGCACCCGCGGGGCCGGGGCTGGGGCGGGAGGCCAGCTCCCCAGAGCCACCAGAGAGGCCCCGCTCTGGGCCGGGCCAGGTCCTGGCTTCTCAGCTCCCGGCCGTCCTTGCAGACAGGTGAGCGAGTAGGCACTCCTCTGCCAGGCCCGTGCCCGCCAGCCGAGGCCCAGCAGCTGTGCAGAGTCCCCAGGTCGTGGCTGCCGGGATGCCAGGCTCTCTGGCCTAGTAAGCTCCGGGGCACCGCTGCCCTGTGCCAGGTGAAGTGTCTCCTCCTCTCCCTACCTAGTGTGCCCACGCCAGGCTGATAGGAATCCTGGTTCTTCCTCCTCTCCGGTCCGGAACCCGGGCTCTCCTGCGCGCTCAGGCCATGACCAGGCCCAGCAGGAGCAATCCAGGCTGCGGGCACCCCGTGGTGTCCTGCGATGCCCAGGAGGCGCGGCTCCCCGCCTCCGGCAGTGCCCAGGCCCGCGCTCTGGCGGCCGGTGCCAGGCGGTGAGCTCGACTCGGCTCGACTGCGGCTCCCTCGGGCAGGGACTGTCCTCCTCCAGTTCCCGGCAGCTCCGCTGCGGCTCCGGCTCCAGCTGCTGCGTCGGGGAATCCGGCAGCAGCTCCCGCCCGCCCCAGCCCGGGCCCAGCCCGCGGGGCAAGGCCCCGTGCTCTTGGCCCCGCCCCCGCCGCCGCGCCCGCGCCCCTGGCCCCGCCCCCTGTATAGGCCCCGCCCCCAGCTCCCATCGGAAAAACTGGTCACGCCCCTGTCACGCCCCCTTAACTGGCCACGCCCTCTGGAACCAAGAGGGATGCTGTCTCGCCCCGCCCCCTCGCCACCCTCCTTGACCGGCCTGGCATTTCCTCCATCAATCAGCTCGCCCTCCCCGCCCAGGTTAAGTGGTCAGCCTGTCCGTACGTTCCCCCCCCCCCCAGAGCTAGGAGAGTCCCCAAAACTGATGTATCTTTCTGAGATAAATCCTACCCCCGCCCCCCAGCTTCCCCGGAGACCCCGTCTGCTAGGAGCCTCCCAGGGGTCCCCATCCCAGGACTCCTTCTAGGGTCTTTAAAAAAATTTTTTTTATTATTTTTTAAATATATATATATATATATATATATATATATATATTTTATAGAGAGGAAGGGATAAAGAGTTAGAAACATTGATGAGAGCCGAAACCGGTTTGGCTCAGTGGATAGAGCGTTGGCCTGCGGACTGAAAGGTCCTGGGTTTGATTCCGGTCAAGGGCATCCCCAGTGGGGGGTGTGCAAGAGGCAGCTGATGGATGATTCTCTTTCATTGATGTTTCTAATTCTCTGTATAATTTCTAATTCTCTATAAAATATATTTTTTAAAAAACATTGATGAGAGAGAATCATCCATCAGCTGCCTCCTGCACACCCCCCTACTAGGGATGTGCCCGCAATCAAGATACATGTCCTTGACCAGAATTGAACCTGGGACCTTTCAATCCACAGGCTGATGCTCTGTCCACTGAGCCAAACCGGTTTCGGCTTTTTTCTTTTTTAAAATATATTTTATTGATTTTTTTTTTTTTTTTTACAGAGAGGAAGGTAGAGGGATAGAACCAGAAACATCAATGAGAGAGAATCATTGATCAGCTGCCTCCTGCACACTCCCTACTGGGGATGTGCGGGCAACCAGGGTACATGCTCTTGACCGGAATCGAACCTGGGACCCTTCAGTCCACAGGCTGACGCTCTATCCACTGAGCCACACCGATTAGGGCAAAGGGTCCTTTCTTTTCCATCTCTGGCCACAGTTACCCGTGGGACCTCAGCACCCAGGAGCGTTGGGACACCGGGTCCCCTAAGGTCTCCCCTTGGCCCCTTCCCCAGTCCCAGCACCTCCTCCTCCCCCTCCCCAGCCCGGGGCGGGCCCCTCGGGGCGGGCGGAGGAAGCTGAATCACCCGGGCCACCGCAGCTGCGGAAGCGGGAACCGCTGGCTGCCCTCCACCCCGGCCGGCCTGTCCCAGCCCTGGGCACGCAGCGCTGACTCATCACTGGCTTCCTGGGGTCCACCCTCTGTCCCCCTCCCGCCCCCCACAGCTCTATCTAACGGGACAGGGAGCCCGGGCTTGGCCGGAGGCGGCGCAGCTGCCACTGAGCCCCTGTCCCTTCCTGGGTCTCAGCCTTCCCCGCTCCGAACAAGGGATGCTCCGGGCAGGACAAGCCGCTGCAAACTTCTGGCCTCCCTGAGCGCCTTGCGGGGTGTGCAGGAGGCAGCTGATGGATCTTTCCTGGCGCGGGGCTTCCTTCCCTGCGGAAGCTCCTCCCCGCAGGACCTCCCCCCCGCACCCCCTCCCCCCCCCCCCCCCGGCTCACCCCAGCCCCCCCCACTGGACGGGGCTCACCCCAGCCCCCCCCACTGGACGGGGCTCACCCCAGCCCCTCCCCCTGGACGGGGCTCACCCCGCAGCCTGCCTTTGATGGTGATACCCGGCCTGGAGGAACAAGACCTCAAAAGCCGACCATTTAGCACGGGCCGAGGCGCCCTCTGGTGGCCAGATGGCAGAATGGGGCGTGCAGGAGGCAGCCGATCCATGATTCTCTCCCACCATGGATGTTTCTGTCTCCCTCTCCCTCCCTCTCTGAAGTCAATACAAACATATTTATTTCTTAAAAGGAACTTTCAGGCGAAACCGGTTTGGCTCAGTGGTAGAGTGTCGGTCTGCGGACTGAAAGGTCCCGGGTTCAATTCCAATCAGGGCCATGTACGTTGGTTGCGGGCACATCCCCGGTAGAGGGTGTGCAGGAGGCAGCTGGTTGATGTTTCTCTCTCATCGACGTTTCTAGCTCTCTATCTCTCTCCCTTCCTCTCTGTAAAAAAAAAAATCAATAAAATATATTTAAAAAAAAAAAAAAAGGAACTTTCAAATCGCCTCCTTCCCCTCCCTGCCCAGACCCTCTGTGTTTGACACTGGCGTCCTAGGAAGAGGCACCTGTTAGTTACCTCGATGGCTTTGAGGAAGGACCCTGTGTGTGTGTGTCACTGTGAACCCCGATCAGAGGGCCCCTCTGAGGGCAAGAGCCTTCCTAGCCTCAGCGGGGTGGGGAGTTCAGCGCATCTCCCTGACCTGAACCCCGCTTCCCAGAGGCAGCCCAGAGCCCACGGCCTTTCCCCGGAGAGACAGGCCCACACTCTGGCGGCCGAGGCCCCGGGGTGCTGTCCTGATGGCACTGGGGAGAAGCCAGGCGTGGGAGCCCGCGCTCCAGGGTCCTGTCTCTGCCGTGTGATCGTAAGAGTCATCGAAGCCCCCAGTTTTCAGTGATTGAGTGAAGGAGCCAAGAGGGGGTGCCCCCACCCCCAGACACTGCGGGAGACACTTTCCTTCTTTGACACCAGCCTCTTTATCTGCAAAGCAGAGCTGACGCCGAAACCGGTGTGGCTCAGTGGATAGAGCGTCGGCCTGTGGACTGAAGGGTCCCAGGTTCGATTCCAGTCAAGGGCATGTACCTTGGTTGCACACCCAGTGGAGGGTGTGCAGGAGGCAGCTGGTCGATGATTCTCTCTCATTGATGTTTCTGACTCTTATCTCTCTTTCTCTCTGTAAAAAATCAATAAAACATATATATATATGTATATATATATATGTATATGTATATTTAAAAGCAGAGCTGACCACAAAAATCTATCAGCGCCCTCAGAGTAACACTAATAGGAAGTGTCCAGAGCATACGCTCCTGAATGTCATCAGTGCTGCCACTTCCAGCACCGTTTCCCCCAGGACCCAGCGTACTTCCCGACCCTCTTCCCCTCCCAGGGGCGCCTCCCCTTTCTCTGCTCCCATGAGGCATCAGGACGCTGGCGCATGTGCATAATCAACACTTTAATCGCTTCAGAGGTGGCTCTGAGCAGCCCTGCAGGGTCCTCGCCAGCTGCTGTCCCACGGCTGGCTCTGGGGCCGCCTCCTTCACAGGGACCTGAGAGCTGGGTTCGAGGCTCAGCTCCTGGGTGGCACCAGGCTCCTGGTGGGACCCAACCCCCCGGGGGGGAGGGACAGCCCTCACACTGCCGCAGATTTCGTGAGCTCAGGGGTCTGAGATGCCGCACGCCCTTCAGACCAGGAGTGCCCTTCGTGGCGTGCCCACAGGGCCAGGCCGGGCCAGACCCAGCGGACAGGCCTCCCGGGGAGGGAGCCTGGCTCCCTGCTCCCAGGTGGGCAGTGGCTGAGGAGCCTTGCAGGGGGGGTGGCAGCTGATCCGGGATCATCGCTCCGAGTGCCCACGAGGGGGCGGCAGGGCCAGGCACGTGCCTGTGCCAGGGAAGTCTGGACGGAGGAGGGTCGAGGTGCAGAGACTGTTCAGGGCGGCCGGGGAGGTGAGCTGAGCTGGGGCTACCAGCGGACCAGCCTCAGCTCGATGGTCTCTCCATCCTGGGGTATGTAGTCAGCAATTCCTGCCGAGACAGGTGGAGCAGGGGTGTTAACGGGGCAGAAGCCTTCCCCACCCCTCTCATCCCCCGCCCCCCCATCTCATCTTCTGAACCTCCAGCTGAGGTCAAGGTCAGGGCCCGTCAGATCTGCTCAGGGCTCAGCGTCCAGAGCCACGTGACCCTCTGAACTCAGCTGTGACCTAGGGGTGTCCCTCACTGTGGGCGAGGCTTTGGTCGGATGATTTAACCTCCTTTAAATGCTGGTGTCCCATTTCTTTTTCTTTCTTTTTTTAAAATATATTTTATTGATATTTTTACAGAGAGGAAGAGAGAGGGATAGAGAGTTAGAAACATCAATGAGAGAGAATCATCCAACAGCTGCCTCTTGCTCACCCCCTATGGGGGATGTGCCCGCAACCAAGGTACATGCCCTTGATGGGAATCGAACCCGGGACCCTTCAGTCGGCAGGCCAACGCTCTAACCACTGAGCCACACCGGTTGCGGCTGGTGTCCCATTTCTGAACGTGGGCTCCCCGCTGGACTGGAGGGCCGAGGGGTGGGAGGTGGAGGACTGAGTCCCCTGGGCCCTCCCCCTGGCTGCATCCTCCGGTCCTCATCAGGGATGGCGACAGGGCCGGTGTGGGGGGCGCACCCTGAGGCGGCCGGACTCACCTTGCTGCAGCGGGGTGTCGGGGGCCCGGACCAGCTGCCAGAACTCCCGCTCTCCTGCTTCTTTCCCCATCACGGACGTCAGGTAGGGGCCTGACAGGCTGGCCCGGGTCCCGTACCTGCCCAAGGGACAGACAATGAGGGTGGGAAAAGATGACTCCCAGTCACCCCCAACTCTGTGGGGCCACGTGGTCCCTAACATTGTGTGTGGGGGTCCCATGGCTGCTCAGAGCACTCCTCTCTGCACACTGTCTGTTTTCCTCTTCTCCTCCCTCCCTCTCCCTCTCTCTCTCTCCCCTGAAATTTCCTGGGTCCAGATGACCCCAAGGTGCCAGCGGTGGGCCCTCCCTGTCTGTCGGAAAATCCAACAGGGGCCAGACACCGGGGCCCTCTCACCCCGAGGCCCCTCTTTCTAGAGGAAAAGCCCGGGGTCTGGGGGACTCAGCTTCTGCGGGCCAGACTCCCCACCGGTCACAGGAGAAGCGCCCATCTTACGTGTTTCAGGGACGTGGGGTCGGGAGGGGTGAGGGCGGGGAGGTGGCGGGGGTGGGGGTGGGGGCCTCACATGAATCCTCCGAGCTCCTGGGCCTTCCATAGCACATCCTCCAAGGAGGCCCCGGCAGGCACGGAGACGGCGTGTCTGTACGGTGGCCACACGCTGGGGGCCTTCAGCATCACATGGATGAACTCGGGGAGCTGCAGCGGCGGGGGGGTGGCCGTCGCCGGCTCCAGCAGGACTGCGCCCGGGAGAGAGGCAGAGTCAGCCGGTGTGAGGGCCGGGGGCCTGGCGGTCAGCTCTCCTTCCTTCCCTTGGAGACCTCGGGACCTACCAGGACCTCCTCCTTCCTGATGTCCCATCTCCGTCCACGCCACCACCGCCTGCTCAGCCGGAGCCTGGCCCAGGCCACCCCGTGCCTTAGCCCCCCCCCCGTCCCCGGCCACCCACCCAAGATCAGGCCCCTCCGTGGTCTCTCTGCCTCCCACCAACCTGCCACCCAGCACCCAGAGGGCTCTCTCCATGAGGGGCATGGTGACTACCTCTGGGTGTCAGGCAGTCCGGGGAGACGAGGTCCACATAGCTCTTGTGGTTCAGGACGGGCAGCAGCTGGGAGATCACGAGGGCATTCTGGAAGGCGCCGTCTTGCAGGCTGGCCAACAGAGCGGCCCTCGCGTGGAGGCAGGCCATGCCCAGCTCCGTCCCGGGCAACGGGGCGGTTGTCAGCAGCTGGTGAGAGTCGGGGAGAGGAGAAGGAGAAGGAGGAGGAGGAGGAGGAGGAGGAGGAGGAGGAGGAGGTGGAGGCGGATCAGCCAGCAGGGAGAAGCCAGGTCTCCCGGTGCCCGACGAGCCTGCCTCCTCCCCCCACCAAACCACGAGGCAGACCCCGGCTCCAGAGCCGCTGTCCCACCTGCAGCGCCAGAGGGGTGCTGTAGACATTGCCAAAGTAGCCCTCGGGGGTCTGGGCCCTCAGGACCTTCTCCTTTGCCGTCCTGGTGGCCAGGGTGATCCGGTGTCGCAGATCCGAGTTGAGGTTGGAGCGATCCAGGCAGGTGAAGGCCAAGCCCGCCATGGCCAGGGTGTCTGCGGGGGATGGGGCCATGGGAGCCCGGGTCAGGGTCCCAGCCCAACGCCAGCGCTGGTCACCGTCGCTGCCCCACACACAAGCCCTCGCTGTGCTTTTTTGTTTTTGTTTTTGTCTTGTTTTGTTATTTTTTTTAAATATATATTTCTTTATTGACTTCAGAGAGGAAGGGAGAGGGATTAGAGAGAGAGAACCATCCATGATGAGAGAGAATCACGGATCGGCTGCCTCCTGCACACCCCCTCTTGGGGATCAAGCCCACAATCAGGGCACGTGCCCTTGGCCGGAATCAAACCTGGGACCCTTCCGTCCACAGGCCGACGCTCTATCCACTGAACCACACCGGCTAGGGCAGCGCTCGCTGTTTTGCTCCTGATGGACTCGGTACGCACGGGGCCCAAGGAGAGGTGGGCAGGGGGCCACGCGGGCGGAGGGGCCTCCCGCTGGGGCTGGGGAGGCTGCAGGAGCGCCGCCCCAGCCTCGGGGTGGGGGTGGGGGGTCCGGCCTACTCACCCACAGAGAGGGGGCCCCCCTGGAGGTGGTGGTCGTGTTGCACAGCGTAGAGGAGCTTGCCGACCACGCTGTCATGGACCCGTTTCTGGTGGACGCACAGGGCCAGGATGCTCAGGCCGTACTGGTAGTAGCCGGCAGGGGGGTAGCCCTTGTGGTCATGCCCTGAGAGGGGAAGACCAGGGGGAGAGGGTGGCACCCCGGGCCTGAGGAGTGGCCTCTCTCCATCCCCTCCCCACAGCCAGCCCCACCAGCACACAGGACCCGGGGCCTAGGCTTCCCATCACCCTCCTCTGGGTCATGGGCTCCTTTGCCCCGTTGCCCCTTTGCCCCAGGCTCGCCGGGGCCCCGGGAAGCGCCCGGCGCTGCGCCTGGAAGTGTGAATGCGGTCACCACAGGGAGGCGCCATGCACCCGGGGCCGCCGACCAGCACAGCCCACACTCAGGGGGACGTGATCAGAACCGAGATGTGGACGAGGTCCGAGGGGCGGAGTCACGGAGGTCCGTGAGTATCTGGGGAGTCAGGGCAGGAGCCTCCAAGGAGGTGATGCTGGAAGGGGAGGTGGGCGAGAGCCAGAGGGGGTGGGGGAAGCCTTCCAGATAGAGGGAACATATATGGAGACCCCGATGTGGGAGCTGAGAGAAGGCCCGTGTGGCTGGAGCCCCCATGGCGTGGCTAAGCCAGAGTGTGAGCGGGCAGAGCCTGGAGAGCAAAAAAGAAAATGGCAGACAGCCTGGGCCTGGGCGCTGTGAACACAGCAGCGAGCAAGCACCTGCCGGGGTGAAGTGGCACTAAACGGTCGGATTGGTATTTAAAATTCTCTCGCTCTGTGGGTGCCGGGTCAGGTCCGGAGGAGGGCCATTAGCAGAAAGAGGACAAGGAGTCGCTATGAAGAAGGCTGTGTGTGTGGTTGCCCCAGAGGTGGATAGTCAGGTCGAGCAGCAAAACTTGACTGAGGGCAGGCGGAGTGCAGGAAAGGCTTGATCCAGGAAGGCTACAGGGGCGGGCCCACGCCTGTGTGTGGATGGTGAGGTCAGGAGCACGGAGGGAGGAGCGAGGAGGCCTGGGGAGAAAGCCCGCCGTGCCGAGGAGCCCGCCCCCGGCGGACTGCGCCTGCTCACCGATGGACCGCTTCTCGTCCTCCAGGAACCGCTTCAGCTGGGACACCAGCCTGTCCCCCTTGTGGCCGCCGATGAACTCGCAGTTGGCCTTGAGCGCCAGCATGTAGAGGGCCAGCTGGCCCATGGAGGGCTTGGGCTCGAGGTCACCGCCGTCATCGCTGGGGGCACGCCTAGGACAGAGTCAATCAGCCACACTTCCGGGGGAAAGTGCCACCCAGGTACGCCTGGCGCCGGGTGCCGCCCCCTCCCCACCAATGCCACAAAGTGGGGGGGAAATACCAGCAGCTGGAACACTTGCTAGAACCTTCCCCCAAACATCTACAGTCAGCCAGGTAAGCGGTGAGGTGGACGCCACACGTATCTCGTCAAGGTGAAAAATTAAACTCAAGGAAACGTGCGGAGGGTCCTCCCATCCCAGTGGCCCGAGCTTGCCCCGCCATGTGGGTCACCCTTCGCCCACGTATCTTCCCTTCCTTTCCTCTCCCTGCTCTGCGTCTACTGCTTAAGATGGAGTCCAAGAAGGAGATGCTCCGTGGTGCTCCTGATCCTTCATCTCTCATTCAAACTCCCACACTGGGACCTCAGAACAGGCCTCCCTTAATCCCCCAGAAAGGAAGCACAGAGTCAAAGGCTGCTTCTGAGCTCGGTGTAGAGGAAGAGTGTGGACATGGATTAGTGATGTCTGCCCCAGGCATGGAATAGGAGCACAGAGTCAGAGGCTGCTTCTGAGCTCGGTGTGGAGGAAGGGTGTGGTCATGGATTAGTGATGTCTGCCCCAGGCATGGAATAGGAGCACAGAGTCAGAGGCTGCTTCTGAGCTCAGTGTGGAGGAAGGGTGTGGTCATGGATTAGTGATGTCTGTCTCAGGTACAGGAGGGTGCAGAAGCAGCACAAGGACCCTGTATGAGCATCTCCAGTCTCATCAAACCAATTCCACTCAACAGATAGAAAAAGGCACAAGAGAGGTGAAACGTGTCTAAGGTCTCCAAACAGATCAATGACAAGCCCAAACTAGCATGCAGTCTCCTGTCTCTTAGGATATGGAGCAAGATGGGGGGGGGAGTGAAGGGAAAGAGAAGCGAGAGCATGGCAATACCTCAGGAGGCTCTGCTGGTAATCGACCTTGAGGCTGTGTAGGTAGAAGGGCTCCTTGGAGCCGGCCTCCAGGCCGGAGAGGCGCAGGCCCACGTAGATACTGGGGTTCAGGTCCTCCAGAGAGAGCTGGTCCAGCCAGGGCAAGAGGCGCTGGCCGAGACTCTGCACCAGGCTGCTGTCCACCTCGGGTATGACTTGAGAGAAAGAACAGGCCACGTGAGGTCGCAGGGGCAGGGCACCAGCAAGGACCTGCTTTTACCTCTCCAGGGCCTCCTCCCAGGAACACATGTCCCCCCTCCACCTCCACCAAACACCCCCTGCTCTATGGGGAAATCCAGTTATCAAGAAAGGCAGAGCAGTGAAGGGCAGAAAGCAGGTTATCCCTAAACAGCGGTTGGCGTGGGCCAGGCAAGGATGGTTGGTCAGGACAGAGGAAGCTGGTTGCCAGACAACGACTCTGCCCCTCAGGAGTGACAGAGACTGGAGGCCAAGCCATGTGGGGTGCCCCCCGGGCACCATGCCTGACCGCACCTGGTCCTCACACCAGCCCCTGGAGGAAAGGACTGTCATCATTGCTTCGAGTGCTCACCTCGGCCCAGCCTCCTCCCTTAGGGAAGGTACCTGAGCTGAGCAGGTGGCTTTGCTGTCACCTTGGACTTCTTCCCACCTACGGCCTCCAGGTCGCTGCAGGGCTGGCTCTGCGCTCTGTGCCCTGTCCCAGGATCTGAGCAGGAGGCCCCTCCCAGAGGAACGGCTCCTGGGCCCCATCTCTTCCGGTGTGGGCCCCACCATCTTACATCTGTTTTCTCCAAATCATAGCTCGCTCTCTCTCTCTCTCTCTCTTTTTTTTTTTTTAAATATATATTTTATTGATTTTTATTTTTATTTTTATTTTTTTTACAGAGAGGAAAGGGGAGGAAAAGAGAGTCAGAAACATTAATCAGCTGCCTCCTGCACACCTCCTACTGGGGATGTGCCCACAATCATGGTACATGCCTTTGACTGGAATCGAACCTGGGACCCTTCAGTCCTCAGGCCAACGCTCTAACTACTGAGCCGATGCTCTATCCACGGAGCCAAACCGGTTTCGACCCTTCTATTTTAGAGTCTTCTTGTGTATTTGTCTTCATTTCACTCTCTCTCTCTCTCTCTCTCTCTCGCTCTCGCTCTCGCTCTCGCTCTCGCTCTCGCTCTCGCTCTCGTTCTCACTCTACCTGACCAGCCTCTCTCTGTGATCATCTGTCCCCTCCACATTCCTTTCCTTCTCTCTTTTCTTCAAAACGGTGAGGGAATCCCTGCCCCCAGCCGGGGCTCTGACCTGGGGCAGGTGAGTCAGCTGGGATGAGAGGAGATAAGAAGAGAAGCTGGAGCAGTAAACAGCCTCCTTAAAAGGAAGGCGCCAGGCAGATTCACCCCAGGTCATAAAGATTCACCCCAGATCATAAAGATTCACTCCGGGTCATAAAAGGTCATAAAGTGCAGGGCCCAGCACCCTTTCCCCTGGAGCCTCCTGTGCCCAGGGCCCTGGTCCTGCCCACTGAGGCCTGCCTGGCATCACCACTCCCAGGCGCAGGAACCCACCTCCCACAGGTGTTAGTGTCCCAGAGTGCGAAGCTGGGGAAGCAGGTGTGGCTCAGTGGTTTGATTCTGATCAAGGGCAGGTACGTCGGTGGCAGGCTCCTCTCCGACCCAGACCCTGGTGGAGGCTGGTGCAGGAGGCAACCAATGAATGTGTTTCTCTCACATGGATGTTTCTCCCTGTCTCTCCCTCTCTCTGAAAATCAGTGGAAAAATCGGGTGAGGACTGAAAATAAAATAAATAAAATGCTCACAATCAGTGAGGTTGGGAGCCAGGTCCTAGGTCTCCCCTGGGCACTGTCTGGACAGAAGCCGAGAGTCAAGGGCTACAGGGTCTGGTGGCGCCTGAGGAACCCTGGCTGGAGGCTGCCCGTGCCCTTGACCTTGCCCTGGTTCTGAGAACCGAGTTGGCAAAGCCAGATTCCTGGAAAGAGAGACCCGGGCAGGTCACCTCGCCCCTGCAACCTTTGGCTGCTTCATCCATCACATGGGCACGGCCGGGCCTGCCTCTCGGCTTCTCCGAGGATCGCCCTAGCGGTGAACGTGAATGGCAGGACATCCCGTTATGGACGGAGCACCGAGGGAAGAAGGCAGGTGGGTGGCCTCGGAGTTCAGAGGCCTCCCTTCCTGCCTGGCCCGAGGGCCCGGCAGCCCCACGCCTGGCACTCAGACCCACAGACAGGACCCGAGAGGCCCCTGGGCGGCCCTGGTACACAGGCCACAATGCAGCGTCTCACCGTGGCCTTCCCTGGCCCTCTGGGAGATGTCTCCCCGGCGGGGTCTCCATACTCACTTCCCTCGGCCAGTTTCTTTTCTTTTCTTTTCTTTTAATATATTTATTGATTTTTTTTTATTATTTATTTATTTATTTATTTTACAGAGAGGAAGGGAGAGGGAGAGAGAGCCAGAAACGATGAGAGAAATACCAATCAGCTGCCTCCTGGACCACCAAGGATGTGCCCTCAACCAAGGTACATGCCCTTGACCGGAATCGAATCTGGGACCCCTCAGTCCGCAGGCGGACTCTCTATCCACTGAGCCAAACCAGTTAGGGCTTGGCCAAGTTCTTTTCCTCTTTTTGTATTTCAGTTCCTGTGTTGTCCCCAGCTCCTTGGAGATCCTGTCCCGACCTCTCTCCCCGAGTCGGTGGCCTAGAGCCTAACTCAGTGCCACCCCCCCCCACACCACACACACACACACACACACACACACACACACACACACACATTCACACACACACACACACACACACAGCGCTGATTTGCCTCTTGACTGCCTTCCTGAGCCCCTTCACTAGCACGGAAGCTGCGGGAGGACAGGGACAGACTCTCTCTCTCTCTCTCTCTCTCTCTCTCTCTCTCTCTCTCTCTCTCTCTCTTTTCTCCCCAAACCCTAACACCACGCCTGTCACCAGAAGGCTCAACCAACACTAGTTGACCGGATCAATGCACAAATGACTGAACGGACGGAGGCGATCGTGTCTGGCAGGGAGTCGGACGTATCATTCATCTCAACACCGAGGTCCAGCTGAGCGCCCGCCAAGCCCACACTGCTGTGAGCCCCCGAATGGGCAGGCTGGCACATCGTACCACGTCCCACCTCGGCACCTCGGTTTCCCCAGCGAGGGAAGGAGGGACTTGAAACAAGAGGGTCCTTAGGAGGAAAGAGGCACGGGGGTCTGGTACTTACTGCAGATGTCAGCGAGAGCCCCCAGGGCCCCCAGCAGCAGGAGGAGCGCCCCAAGCTGCCCCATGGCAGCGGCAGGTGGGCGAGCGGCAGACGGGGACCTGGACAGGGAACTCCCAGGGCCGTCCTGGCAGAGGCTGTGCTGTCAGAGGCTGTGCTGGCCACGGCCGGTCGCTGCTCTGAGAGGCAGGTACCTGTCACTGATTAATCTCCCCGTCTGGCAGCGTGCTGCGAGGTCAGCAGAAACAAAAAGGGTGAAGGTCTGCCGCCGAGGGGAAAGGAAGACCAAAGAGCAGAGGAAGGAAGGCTGTGGCCTTCCCGGAGGTAGGGGCCAGGGGAAGGGGAGGGCGAGTAGGGGTGGTGCGGGACGCTCTGAGGCCACACACATGTGGTCCTTCTGTCCGGAGAGCCCGCCGTCGGATCTGCCCAAGTCCACCTACCTGCACCTGTGGGGTACCCCCCAACTGTCCAACGGTGCATGGGCAGTGAGGGGGGGGGGGTGCCTACCTGCTGCCCCTCACAGAAGGAGCCCCTGGAAGAGCCTGCACAGGCCCGGGACAGGGAGCAGAACGGGGAGCTGCGGGGGTCACGTGATCGGGATTGCTAAAGTCAGCTGCTATCTGCCCGCCCAAGAAGGGAGGGGCTGGCTGATTGGGGACCAGACGGGTTAGATTTTTTTAACCGACCCGGAAACTTGGAAGCACCCTGGAGACCAAACAAAACAAGTGAAGGGACAGGATGTAATCATTTGGGCAGCCTCAGGGTTGTTTATCGGGACTAGAAAAGGAACCTTAAAAAAAAAATCTCTGCAAGGAGGGAAAAGGAGGGATGTCTCACCTGCCCGGCCCCACAGGTGGATCGGTGCGCAAGGGTTAGCGCTGGCCGTGCTGTGTGACCTTGGCCAGGTCTCTTCACCTCTCTGAAGTGGAAATACGTTCTCCCGAGTGAGAGGAAAGAATGGGGCGACATCCTTCTCCTTAAGCTCCCTGCCAGCTCCACTTGGGAAGATGCTGCTCAGCCCTTAAAACGCCTCTAATCATTTCCAAATAAACTTTTATTGATTGCCATCATTTCATGGCAAATAGCCAAGATTCATTCTTTCAAGATAATGTTTTGTGGGTTTTTTTTTTTGTGCCTGACTTATTATCACAAGTCAAGCTCTTGATATAGATAAATACAGTCCTATACCTCGTTTCAATCAAGGATGGGCCAAAACCGGTTTAGCTCAATGGATAGAGCGTTGGCTTGGGGACTGAAGGGACCCGGGTTCGATTCCGGTCAAGGGCATGTACCTTGGTTGCGGACATATCCCCAGTAGGGGGTGTGCAAGAGGCAGCTGATTGATTACTCTCTCTCATCGATGTTTCTAACTCTGTATCTCTCTCCCTTCCTCTCTATACAAAATCACTAAAATATATTTTAAAAAAATAATTTAAATCAAGGATGGCCTGTCTATACAATGGTCGTCTCATACGCTTATAGTGGAGCCGAACAAATTCCATCGCCCCTAGCCGGCTCAGTGGATAGAGCGTCGGCCTGCGGCGGACTGAGGGATCACGGGTTCGATTCCGGTCAAGGGCATGTTCCTTGGTTTTCAGGCACATCCCCAGTGGGGGTCGTGCAGAAGGCAGCTGATTGATGTTTCCTACCCTCTGTCCCTCTCCCTTCCTCTCTGTAAAAAATCAATGAAAATATATTTTAAAAAATTATATTGCCCAATGATGTTGAAGCCACCATAACATCATAGTGCAAATGCTACAAAAACCAATAAGGCCGTGGTTGAGATGGCAAACAACTCTAACCCTGGGTGTGGATGCGGATGGCATTGAGGAACTGCCTGCAGGGGGTGTACAAGAGGCAGCTGATCAATGATTCTCTCTCATCGATGTTTCTCTCTCTCTCCCTTCCTCTCTGTAAAACATCAATTAAAAATATATATTTTTAAAAACTAAGAAAAAAAATTATCTACTTTCCAAACCACACTACCTTGGTGTGAATGTTTAAATTTTGTAATTATCCTCTGGAGAATACAATACAAAATTCACGTGTACAGTACATATTTTTAAATACATTTTATTGATTTTTTTACAGAGAAGAAGGGAGAGGAATGGAGTGTTAGAAACATTGATCAGCTGCCACCTGAACACCCCATACTGGGGATGTGCCTGCAACCAAGATACATGCCCTTGACCGGAATCAAACCTGGGACCCTTGAGTCCACAGGCTGACGCTCTATCCACTGAGCCAAACTGGCTAGGGCTCATGTTTACATATTAAAAGCTCAGATGTGTTAAGTGTACATTTAAAAATACTAGGAGCTCTGAACTCTGGCCTTTCATCATTTTTTAACCTACCACTAAGGCTCAGAAAATATAAGTGGCCTCTCTGGTTTCTCTATCCCCGTAGGATAAAAGTCTGCTTTAGCTTTATTTAACTCACATAACAGCTTTATTTTACCCACATAACTAAAGGAAAAGCCGAACCGAGCACATCCTCATTCAGCGCCCCTCGGTGGCCACTTTTAGCCTTGGGGGGGCCTAAGTACCAACACACCTAGCAACCGTTACCACGACAACAGGACGCGTTCCCTCCCCTCTAAACGCGGTTCCCCTCTGCTTCCCAGAAGGCACTGCGCTGTTTACAAGCTTTCCGCCCCTCTTCATCCCAACATGCAACGGGGCTCCGATGCCGTGGGAATCGTCATCATCGTGATAACTACAGAGATGCCTTCATGCCTTCATCCCTCGTTTAAACGGGGAAACGGTCTGCAGTACAGTCACAGGTGGGAAAACCTCAAAAGAACGGCCTCAGTGATTTTTTTCCTCCTGAAATTGTGCGGAGGAAAGCCCCGGCTGTGCCTACACGCGCTCAGGCACCTCGCCGGGCAGCCTGCGCAGACGGGCTGCGCGGGGGCCTCGGGGCCTGAGGCGGGGCACGTGCGCCAGGAAGCGGCGCTGTCAGTCCGCGCGGCGCTCCGGGCCCCTTCAGCGTGGAGCCATGGGAGGCCTGGAGAAGAAGAAGGTGAGCGGGGAGATCCTGGGGTTGGGGTGGCGAGGTAGGCCTCGGGAGGTGGGCAACAGGGGCGCGACGGGGCCTGGGTCTGAACACCCCCCACTGGCCCGCCTTTCCTCTGGGTACCCGGAGGATGGGCGAGGAAGGCAGTACTTGTAAGATGAAATCCGGGGAAGATCCCTGGAGCAGGATTGTTAACAAGAGTCGATAACCAAGCGTTAGCGTCCCCCGAAAAGCAGGTTTAGCCGGAAGACAGCTGCTTACGGAATAAAGAGGGAGACACATTGCGTCAAGGCCTCCATGACGTCGAATTCATCATCTCCAAGACATGTTACCCTTCCCCTCTTTTTTTTTTCTCCCTGGAACCAAAACTATCCAAGATTGTTAAATGTGCTGTGAAAAAGGGAGCAAACGAGGAGTGTGTTTGGTGACAGTGGGCGATCCGTAAACATACCCCGCAAGAGGCTGCAGGGTTATGAGCTGCACTTGGCCCTGGAGGCCCCTGCCCCCTGGCTCCCGAGAGAGACATGCTTGGTGAGCCTTGCCTGGAGCTTGGTACAGTGCACGGCTCCTCTTCACCAGGGAGACAAGAGATCTGAGTGTGAGGCAGCATCTTGGCGTCATAGGCATCCGGATGGTTGCTCAGGCCTTTTGTTTTGCTTACCCTCCTGCCTTCTAGCTTAATGCTTGGAACATGGTCGAGGTCCTGTTATTGCTTGTTGAACGAATGAGGGTGGAAGGGGAGAGGCTTTTTGACTTATTCTCAACCGGATAATATCACCCCCAAGGAAAGAAAACTGGTGTGTGAGGGCGAGTCTTAGATATTTCAATGGTGTCTGGCCCTCTGAAGGACCCCTTGACACAAACAGATCTACAGTACCTCTGAGGTATTAACGTTTTGATAATATGTTAATATGGCGGCTGTGAGAGAGGGCAATTAAGGGGGGAAAGGTCTAAAAAGGCTTTTACTGACGGGGGTGGGTGATTATAAAGAAAAAAGTTGAGAACGCTGGCTTCGTGGCGTAGGCACTGAGATTCTGGACTCAGACCTGGGTTTGACCCCCCGGCCCCTTGAAAAGCTCTGAGCCGGGTGATTTCACTCGGGTGTCTCCTCCCGGGTGCAGTGGGAGTTTCACAGCACCCACCTCACCGTGTTGTGGGGATTCGATGAGATGATGTGCGGAAATCGCTAACCGTAATGGCCAATACTTGGAGCTACTCCTAAGTGCTAGGCACAGCACCTGATCCGTAGCGGCCCACGATCGCCAGCACCGTGACGAGGACAAAGCCGGGTTGGCCAAGGACAGAGCAGGAGAGTTCATTCAGGCAGTGGGGCCCTCCCTGCAGCGTGTCCCATCCCAGGGGCCACTTATTCAGAGAGGCTTGCCTCTGGCACGAGGCATGCGCAAGATCTAGGTCAAGTCACTTCAGTCATTGCTAATGGAATTTTTTATTTTTCTCCCCAAGTATGAACGCGGCTCTGCCACCAACTACATCACCCGCAACAAAGCCCGCAAGAAGCTGCAGCTGAGCCTGCCCGACTTCAGGTGCGGCTGGGAAGGCGTGGACAGGGGGAGCCGCGGGGGTGCTTGGGGAGGGAGTTACACAAGGAAAACGCAGCTGCATCCCATCTCCCCCGCGCTGCCACAAACTCCATCTGGGGTTCCGACATTCCTCCTCTTCCTCACCTGGCCTAGCTTTAGTAAAGCTGTGCTTTGCCAGGTGTGGTCTGTGGGGAAGCCGAGGAGACCTGGGTTCCCTGTGCTGAGTTCTCAGGAGGGGCCCGCTGCTGTCTGCCTGCCTCTGTCACCCATCTCCTTCCTCTGGCAGAGGAGGTCCCTGGCCCTACAGCGAGGGGTTCTCAGCTCCTGGTGGAGTCTGCTTCCGACTCCTGCCCAGCCTGCAGGCCCCGCCACCGGGCCCGCTGTTAGTCCCTCAGCTGTGCCCGGCATTTCCCACCCGGACAGCCTCTGTCCTTCTCAGCTCACTCTTCCCTCTGTGTGTGGCTGAAAGGTTGGCCTCTCGGCAAGGCCTTTTGTGACTCCTCTTGCCAAAAGCGGTACCTGCCGTCTGGCCCCTCTCTCCGTCTGTGTCACGTGACTGCCAGTCTCCTCACTAGGATGTGAGTTCTCCAAGGGCAGGCCCCCGTGCTCCCTGTTCAGTGCTGTTTTCCAGGCCCTGCGTGGCCGGTGCCCAGCCCGTTCACTGACGGGAGGAACGGCCTCTGTCTTCCAGGCGGCTGTGCATCCTGAAGGGCATCTACCCCCACGAGCCCAAACACAAGAAGAAGGTGAATAAGGGCTCCACTGCTGCCCGGACATTCTACCTGATCAAAGACATCAGATTCCTCCTCCATGAGCCCATCGTCAACAAGTTCCGGGAGTATAAGGTGAAGCTTGGGCTCGGGGCTGTCTGTCTGTCTGTCTGTCTGGGTCCGTCGCAGGTTAGGACCCACCAGCTGGGACCGTGGGCAGATTGCTGGGTCTCGCCGAGTCAGCCTGTGGAAGGAGTGTCTGGCGAGGACTGGCTGAGATCACGAGTGGAAATCATTTGCACAGAACCTGGCAAGCGGTTAATTTACCTGTTGTTCTGTCCCCCTGGTTTTTTGGGGAAAGAGTCAATTTACTGCCTCTGAGGTTCTCAGGTGTGTTTTCTGCCCAAAGATGCCATGTTGCTTAGTTCTTTCTGGGATTGCTCTCCGGAGACCCAGCCCTTCATTCCACAAGTAGAAACAGCATTAAGTGCTGAAATGCCACAGGGAAAGCAGAAAACCTGTTTATCCCAAATGCAAATACTAATGGAAAGTAGACTGCTGATCCTGACGCCTTTGCCAAGCAAGCAGGGCCAGGCCGAGGCCCTCCGCGGGAGGGATGGGGCGCCACCTGGTGGCCTCAGCTAGCTGCTGGCCTTCTTGGCCAGCCAAGCCCACCGAGGTGTTTTGCCAAGCCTGGGGCTGAGGGAGCAGGTGGCACAGCCACACAGCTTCAGGGGCCTTGAGAGTCCTCCCGCCCCACGCATCCTTCCTCCATGGATGAGGGGTCTCCAGGAGCCTCTGCCCAGCATCAGCTGGCTCTTCTGTCTCCCAGGTGTTTGTCCGGAAGCTCCGGAAGGCCTACGGGAAGAGTGAGTGGAACACCGTGGAGCGTCTGAAGGACAATAAGCCCAACTACAAGCTTGACCACATCGTCAAGGAGCGGTGAGCTGGTTCCCCGGTTCCCCGGTTCCTCTCCAGGCTGTGCGGAGGCTGCTGCTGCTGCCAGGCCCCTTCCTTCGGGGCAAGGCCTTGCCGGGGGGGTTGGGGCCTCCAGGGCGGCACCTAACCAAACCTGAGGGTGCCGCCCTCCGGCCACGCAGGTACCCCACCTTCATAGACGCCCTCCGGGACCTGGACGACGCCCTCTCCATGTGCTTCCTCTTCTCCACCTTCCCCCGCACCGGCAAGTGCCACGTGCAGACCATCCAGCTGTGCCGCCGGCTCACCGTGGAGTTCCTGCACTACGTCATCGCCGCCCGCGCCCTGCGCAAGGTGAGCGCGGGGGGGCCGCCTGGCCGGGCCCCGCCTGCCCTCTCCTGCCCTCCCCTCGGTCTTCACCCAGCTGTCCCCTCTCTCCGCCAGGTCTTCCTGTCCATCAAAGGCATCTACTACCAGGCCGAGGTGCTCGGGCAGCCCATCGTGTGGATCACGCCCTATGCCTTCTCCCACGACGTGAGTGTGCCCGCGGGCGGGGGCCTGTGCCGGGCGGTTCTCTCTCTGGCTCCCAGACAGACGAGGGCACGAGCAAAGAGAGGGGCTTTGACTGTCTGTCCAGCACGAGCTGGGTTCCTAGGCGTTGGCCGGGGCTGTCGGGTCAGGCAGGGAAGGTGCCACGCAGCGTTGTAGTAAGAACTCAGCGCCCCCAGCTGGTTGGCCTGGAACTGCTCCTTTGGCGCTCTGTCCTCACTTTATGATGTGAGACTTCAGGAAAGGATTTTAACAAGTGCCCTTTGGGGTGAATGACTAGTTAGTGGCTGCTGGCGTCTGAACCGTGGGTCTCTCCTCTCCCCTGTTCTGCCCCTCCTCTCCTCCTCTTCCTTCTTTCCTGCCCTCTCCACTCTGCCTTCCCTCCTTCCTCTCTGGCCCTCTGCTCCTTCCTCCTCTCTGATGCCTCCCCCACTGCCGCCCTGTGCCGCTCAGACTGGGCTTTGTGTGGCCCAGAGGTGAATGGGGCCCAGCTGGCCTGGGGGAAGGGAACAGCCGCCCGTCCCTCCCTCCCGGGCCACCCACTGCCGCCGCTTCCTCTCAGCAGGAGGATGGAGGACCGGTACTGGGCTGACTGGGCTGTAGTGAGGCCCTAACGTGCCCCCTTCCTCTAATCGACCAGTTCTGGGTCCCCCGAGTAGGACCAGGCAGGTGGGGCGACCCCCCTGCACACTGCGCTCTAGGAAGTTGGTGCTCAGATGCTTGCGGGCCCATCGGGGGTCCTGCAGATGCTTTCGGAAGGACGGAGGTGTGAGCGTGGGCACAGGTGTGAGTGTGGGCACGACGTACGGCTCTTTCTGACGGGCAGAGGCCCAGGGCAGGGCTGCCCCGGAGGGGCTCCTCACCCCACGTGGGTGTCAGTGTCCTCTCCGCGCCCATCTTGCCGACACACCTCCTGTGCCCCCAGCACCCGACAGACGTGGACTACAGGGTCATGGCCACCTTCACCGAGTTCTACACCACCCTGCTGGGCTTCGTCAACTTCCGCCTCTACCAGTCCCTCAACCTGCACTACCCGCCCAAGGTAGGGCCCGCCAGCCCCGCCCTCCTCCTCCTCCCCGCGCAGGGCCGCCGCCGCCGCCGGCAGTGCCCCGTGGAGGCGGGGCCGTGGCGGGCTTTTCCTCTGACCCGCCCCTGCCCCCCAGCTCGAGGCCCACACGGAGGTGCAGGCCCGCGAGGACAGCTATGCGTTGGACTCTGAGAGCTCCATGGAGGTGAGAGCGGCTTCCAGAGCATGGGCCCTGCGTCCCCAGGGGGTGGGCCTTGCAACCCCAGGGGGTGGGCCCCACGTCCCCCAGTGGGGTGGGCCCCACATCCCCAGGGGGTGGGCCCTGGCCCGGGAGCGGCTGTGGCTCCATGTGTGGTTTCGGAACTTCTCTCAGAACCAAACCCACTGATGTCCCAGACTGCCCCTGCCTCCCCCCACCCCACCCCCGGCCACACCCTCACAGAAGCCCCCCACGCAGCCGCCCTGCAGTCCCGCGTCTTTTCTGTAGAAACTGGCCGCCCTCAGCGCCAGCCTGGCCCGGGTGGCGATGCCTGCAGAGGAGGAGGCCGAGGTGGACGAGTTTCCGGCCGACGGGGTGAGGCTGCCGCCCCCGGGCGGGCGGGCGGGCGGGCGGGGGCTGAGGGACCTGGAAGGGAGCTGACGGAGGCCCGCTGCCCCACAGGAGACGGCGGCGCAGGAGGAGGCCCGCCGGAGGGAGCTGCAGGCGCAGGAGCAGCAGAAGAAGCTCTTCGAGGGCCTCAAGTTCTTCCTGAACCGGGAGGTGCCCCGAGAGGCCCTGGCCTTCATCATCAGGTGCGGAGGCCAACGGCACCGGCTCTGCCACTCCCGCTGGGTGCTGCCCGGCCCGGGGCAGCCCGGGTGCCCCTTGGGTACACCCGTAACTCCGGGTGGTGTCAGGGTCCACTCAAGACTGTTGTGGGGGCTCAACTAAAACAGTGCTGGGAAGTGCGCAGCATACCCTGGGCGTACGCACAGGAGGTGCCCACCGGAGGGCAGCTGGCATCGCGCTCTCACCAGGAGGGCAGGTCTCCGCTGGCCAGCATGGGGGGGGTCCTACGTGGGGAGGGGACAGTGTGTCCTAGGAGGGTGATCCTGGGGGCCAGCGGGTCCCAGGGCAGCACCTCGTGCCTGAGACCTTTCGCGGGCTCCCCTTGTGCCGGTAGGAGCTTCGGGGGGGACGTGTCCTGGGACAAGTCTCTGTGCATCGGGGCCACCTATGACGTCACGGACTCCTGCATCACCCACCAGATCGTGGACCGGCCCGGGCAGCAGACGCCTGTCATCGGCAGGTAGGCCCCCAGAGGCCTGTCTCTGCGCCTCTGCGGGTGACGTGTGGCCTTGGTGGCCCCTGACCCGTCTCCGCCGCCCCCCTGCCAGGTGCTACGTGCAGCCCCAGTGGGTGTTTGACTCCGTGAACGCCCGCCTCCTCCTCCCCGTGGCCGACTACTTCCCCGGGGTGCCGCTGCCCCCTCACCTCTCCCCCTTCGTGTCCGAGAAGGAAGGGGACTACGTGCCCCCGGAGAAGGTGAAGCTGCTGGCCCTGCAGCGGGGCGAGCAGCCAGGTGAGCGGGGCGGGCTGGGCCGGGCGGGCGGGCCCCTCCGCTGGCCGTTTCCCTTCTTGGCTACAAGGTGGCAAGCTGCAGGGAACCGGGCAGCCGGGCACAAGCCCCTTTGGAGTGAGGTTTGGGGAAGGGAACGTCTGCGCTCCACGGTCCGGTGTTGATGTTCAGAGTAACGGGGCCGAAGAATGGTCTGGGAGCCGTCACCGTTCGCACAGGAGGCGGCAGAGCCGGGGGTGGGGGCCTGGGGTCTCCTCTGAAGGCAGCTGGGCTGCCAGGAGAGGTGCCAGGGGCGTGCCTGGGACAGCCCTGTGCCGCCATGGAATGCCCCCGGGGTGGGGTCCCGGCGCAGGTTCTGTGCAGCCAGGTGAGGGGAGGGCTCCCCGGGCGCCCAGCAGCCATTGACTGTTTGTAGGAAATCTGAATGAATCTGAAGAGGAAGAGGAGGAGGAGGAGGGGGAGGAGGAGGAGGATGGTGAAGAAGGAGGAGAGAATGAAGAGGAAGAAGATGATGTGGAGGCTGGCTCAGAAAAGGAGGAAGAGGCCCAGCTGACAGCTCTGGAGGAGCAGAGGATGGAGGGGAAGGTACGGGGTGGGGGGTGGGGGGAAGAGGGCGGGAGCCAGGGGGCTGCGGGGTGGACTGGGGACCTGCACCCACCGGCTTCCACCCGCGTCCTCAGAAGCCCAGGGTGATGGCGGGCACCGTGAAGCTGGAGGACAAGCAGCGGCTGGCGCAGGAGGAGGAGAGTGAGGCCAAGCGGCTGGCCATCATGATGATGAGGAAGCGGGAGAAGTACCTCTACAACAAGATCATGTTCGGCAAGAGGCGCAAGATCCGAGAGGTGAGTGCCGGCCGGCCGGCTCTCCTGGACGGTAACCCTCTCCTGGCAGCGATGGTTTAGCCAGAGCACGGACTTCACACAGCATGCCAGCCGTGCCCTGGGGCGGGGTTAGATTCTTCTGCTGGCGGGCATTCCCAGAAAACACCCGGAGCCGTCCCTGCCCCCCTCCCCACGTCTCCGGAGGGTTCCTAGGAATATAATGGCTGGGTTGGGAGGCCTGCCTGTGGGTTTTGTGAAAGGCACCCCCAGATGGCCCCGGGGAAGGCTGCTCCCGTTTGACCCCTCCCAGCAGCTCCCAGTACAGATTTGTGTGGCCCCAGCTTTCCCAGCGGGAGGGGTGGACGGGGACCCTCCTGCCTTGCCGCGGCCCGTGGAAGGCTAGTTTGAAAGGCGAAGGTGAGGGAGGGCTTGTTCCCCCCTCGGGTTGTCCAGAGAGACTTGTTTTCCCCGTGGCGGCTGCCGTTCACTTCCCCGGAGCTAGCTCTGCTCAGAAGGGGTGGCCTCACGTAGAGCGGGGAGTCCCTCTGCCCGCTTCCCCCCATCACGGCTGGACCTGCCGCTCTGTCCTCACAGGCCAACAAGCTGGCGGAGAAGCGGAAAGCCCACGACGAGGCCGTGAGGTCTGAGAAGAAGGCCAAGAAGGCCAGGCCGGTGTGAGCGGTTGTGGCCTGTTGCCGGGCCAGGCCAGCTCGGGACAGCGGGGCAAGCGTGGATGGAATTCTGGCAGAGAAGAGGCGTCTGCACCCCCACTGTCTCCCAGGAGTCAGCGACATGGGGAGCAGGGCCCCTCCAGGGGCTCCCATTCACCTTGGCTTTCTGCAGCCTCCCCTCTTTCACCCCCCTCTCCCCCCCGTATTCTCAGGGTGCTGTGATGGAGGGTGGGAAGCATTTGTTATTAAACGGCTGGAGTCTTGCAGCCAATTGGCCTCTGTGTTCATGAGCCTTCCTGCGGACCACCTAATGGGGGCGCCATGCTGCAGGCTGCACACCGGGTGTGCCCAGAGACGCCGGCCGCCCTCCGGACGCTCTCTGGAGCCCAAGGGCCCCTTTGGGCCCGAGGATGCCCGAAGGTGGGGACGCAGGTTCTGGCCAGTCTGCCCTCCAGTCTCAGTCCAGCCCCTTCTCCATCTGAACCTGCTTCCGCATGGGAATCAGGAGGGGACGTTCTGGGGCCTGCCTCCCAGGGATGGCAGGAGCATTCGGTGCCAGGCAGGCTCTGTGGTGTGGGACGGCTAATAAAGCACTCTGCAAACCCGCTCTGGTTGTCCTTACTTCCTGCCTGAGTCGGCCCCCAGGGGAGGCGCCCGTGCCTGAGGGCCTGGGGGCCTGGGCTTTACCTAGGGGCCTCCTGGGCAGATGGCCGAGGGAACCCCAGTGGGTATAACAGCTGCCCACTCCTTACCCCCGCTGGGCCACCCCTCCACCTTCCCACCCGACCTCGGTGGTGCCCTTGCTGAGGCCTCGGGGAAGAATCAGGGCTAGAAACTTGGCTCAGATCCTCCCAGTCCGTCCCCCCCCTTCCCCGGCTGGCCCAGCAGGCTGCGTGCTGTCAGGAGCAGGGCCAGGACAGAAGCATGGGTTGGGACCTGGTCACCTTCCCCCATTGAGGCACTTGGAGGAGGGCCTTGGCCCTTGGCCCCTCGCTGCTCGGGCTCTAGAAGTTTCCTGGGCAGCGGCTGCAGGCCCAGCCTGTGGAGAGGACGGGACGGGCAGGAGCTGGGGCAGGCTCCGGCTGAGGGAGCAGAGCCCAGCCCCTGCCTGTGGGCCTCGCTGTGGCTGCAGGGGAGGCTGTGTTCCATCTCAGGTGCTCATGGCGGTGGGCCGGTGCTTCCAGAGACAGCCAGGCCTCTGGAGCCAGCACCCACAGTTCCGGTGCGAGGCCGGGACCTGCCTGGGTGTGTGTGCAACCCGGGGCCACTCGAGGAGTGCCGGGCAAGGCTGCAGGGCAGGCCCATCAGATACGGAAAAACCTGGCAGCCGCGATGTGGAATTTTCCCCATTCCAGAGTCGCCCAGCGATGGCGGGGGCAGCGGGGCTGTGACGTGGCCCATGCCCCACTGGGCGGCCAGCTGCTTTGGCACTGCCTGCAGCTGGAGCTGAGCATTCCCGGCTGTGTGTGTGTGTGTGTGTGTGTGTGTCTCCATCTCAGAACCAAACAAGTGTATCCCAGCTCGCACTGACTCTGAGCAGGGGACCAAACCCCCCATGGGGTCCTCAGGGCTCCAGAACTCCCCTTAAACGTTATCCAGCCTGTTTGGCTCAGTGAATAGAGCGTTGGCCTGAAGGGTCCCAGGTTCGATTCCGGTCAAGGGCATGTACCTTGGTTGCGGGCACATCCCCAGTGGGGGGTGTGCAGGAGGCGGCTGGTCGATGATTCTCTCAGACATTTCTAACTCTATCCCTCTCCCTTCCTCTTTGTAAAAAATAAATAAAAATAATAATAAAAAAAAGTTAAGCAGCTGGTCCAGCCGCCGCCTCCTCCCCGGAGCCGCACCACCACCACCACGCCACCCCGTTCCCCGGGCACCGTCGAATCCCCTCTGGCGAGGAGCTCAGCAGAGCCCCAGGGTCCGGCGGCGGGACAATGGCCCCGTTGGCGCGTCCGGGACAAACGCGCCTTGTTGGGCCGCCGGCGGGGGCGCGATGCTGAAAGCGGCCTCTGTGCGCCCGGGGCGCGCGGAGGGGCAGGAGGGACCGGGAGGGGCGCGGAGGGGCCGGACGGCGCGGGGCCCGGGGCGCCCATTGGCTGCGGGGCCGCCGGGGGCCGGGCGAGGCTGCGGCCGCACCTGGCCGAGCGGGCGGGCGAACGGACGGGCGGGCGGGCGGGCGGGGCGGGAGCATGGCCCAGGCCCGGCCGACCAGGGGGCTCCGGTGGGTGCGCCCCGCCGCCGCCGAGTGAGTGCCCGGGCGGCGCGGCCCGGGCCCAGCCTTCTAGCCAAACCCGAGGAGGAGGACGGGGACGAGGTACGTACCTACCGGGGGGGCGCAGCACCCACCACCAGCTGGCACCCTGCCTCGCCGCCCCAGCCTCCCCACGGGGATTGCGAGCCAGACCGGACTCTCAGACCCCCCCCCCCCCCCGCAGTGGTTTAGGGGCGCGCTCAGCTACAGTGCAAGGGCTGGGGCCTGGGAGGGTGCAGGGGGGTTCTCACCCCGCCCCTGGTTTCTCCCCGGGGTCCCCATTCCCAGGGTTCCCCAGTCGGTGCACAGGGGACGGGTGGGGCTGGAGCTGGAGCGGGCAGTCCATTAATGATTAATCTTTGGCACGGCAGCCCGTGCTCGGAGGAGAGGCAGGAATCTCCCCTCTGCCCCCAGCCTTCCCCCAGGAGGGGGCTGTCAGAGCAGGGGCTGGGGACCTGGATAAGGTGGGGGAGGGGGTGGGGAATCCCCTCTGCCTGGAGAAGGCCCTGCCCTGTGCCACTGAGGGGCCAGGCCTCCCAGGAGAGGCTCGTGGGAATGGGACTAACCCTGGTCTCCAGGAGGGGTCCCCAGGATATCCAACAGTTCCCAGGGTAGCAAGCCAGCTGTGGCAACAGCTGGGAGCGAGACCGAGGTCCCTTCCCCGTGGGAACCCCCCCCCCCCCCTGCCTAGAATCGGAGAGGTGATGGGTGCCCCTCTGGCGGCCATAACCCAGATGTTTGGGTGGGAGGGAGGGAGCTGGGGAGGGAAGGTGACAGGCCTGGGTTGCTGAGGTGACAGGTGCCATGGAAATCCTCAGGAGGACAGGCCGGTGGGGAGAATCCAGCCTCTTCCTTCACGGAGGGAGTGACCGGAGGCCCAGAGAGGGTGAGGCTGTGAGCAGGCCGGGCCGGACCAGCCCCGAGGCTGCTGGGCTCCGCCTCGCCCTGCAAAGCAGACCTGGCCGACAATCCCGGTTATCCCGAGGGGAAACGGAGGCTCAGGGAGATCCTGAGACTTGCCCGAGGTCACATAGTTCAAAGCTGTCTTGCCCCAGCCCCAATCTCAGGATCTCAGCTCCGCTCAAGACTTCGGGGCCCCCTCTGGGGTCTGAACCTCTTGAAGCTGTCTGGGCTGCCCCACCCCCCTCACCCCTTGCCTCAGCCCCTGGCTCCCAGCTCTGCCTGACACTCGGCGGGCTGCTACGCAGGGAGCAGAGACAACAGAGCCCTGTTCCCAGCTGCCTCCTGGGGCGGTTGGTCCCCGGCTGCTCTAGGGCAGGTCCCTGCCTGGAGGAAGCGCCTGCTCCCTGCACATCCCCTCGTCCGATGGGCCAGGTCTGGTGGTTGAGAGCTTGGGTCTGCTGCCCTTGTGCCGCCCAGCGAGGGAGGTGTGTGTCCCCGAGGGGCCCTCCCTCTGCCTGGGGTGCCACCCGGCGAGAGAGGCCATTAGCTGGGGGAAGGAGGCACAGATGGCGGAATTCCAGGCACGGCAGCGGCAGGCTCTTTTTTAATTTTTTTAATTTTTAAAAAAATATATTTTATTGATTTTGTACAAAGAGGAAGGGAGAGAGATAGAAAGCTAGAAACATCGATGAGAGAGAGTCATCGATCAGCTGCCTCTTGCACATTCCCTACTGGGGATGTGCCCGCAACCAAGGTACATGCCCTTGACCGGAATCGAACCCGGGTCCCTTCAGTCCCCAAGCCGACGCTCTATCCATTGAGCCAAACCGGTCTCGGCAGGCTCTTTTTTTAAACAAGGATTTGAGAGACGAAGGGAGAGGGAGAAAGAAATAGAAACACCCATGTTGAGAGAGAACCATTAATTGGCTCCTGCCCACCTCCCCGCTGGGGATCGAGCCCACAACCCAGGCATGTTGCCCTGACCGGGAATCGATACCGTGACCTCCTGGTTCATTCATAGGTCTGCGCTCCACCGCTGAGCCACGGGGGCTGGGCTGGCAGCAGGCTCTCGCTTTGCTTTGACCTGGTGAGGCGCATGGACCAGCCCTTTGAGGAGCCCAGAGGGGCCTCCTTTCCCGCCTGCTGGTTCCGGGGCAGCGATGTGGTTGGGCACCCCACCATCTGGTCCCAGGGGGTCCTGACTAGCCATGCGACCTCAGGTGTGAAGTCCAGGGGGCCTGACTATCCATGTGACCTCAGGTGTGAACTCCAGGGGGTCCTGACTAGCCATGCGACCTCAGGTGTGAAGTCCAGGGGGCCTGACTACCCATGTGACCTCAGGTGTGAACTCCAGGGGGCCTGACTATCCATGTGACCTCAGGTGTGAACTCCAGGGGGTCCTGACTAGCCATGCGACCTCAGGTGTGAAGTCCAGGGGGCCTGACTACCCATGTGACCTCAGGTGTGAACTCCAGGGGGCCTGACTATCCATGTGACCTCAGGTGTGAACTCCAGGGGGTCCTGACTATCCATGTGACCTCAGGTGTGAACTCCAGGGGGGGAGGGAACGTGGGTCTGGAGCCTGAGGAATGTGAGCGCTTGCTTGGCTGGGAGGTTGGCCTTCCAGGAGTTGGCACGGGCGAGTCCTGCTTCTCCTACCAGGCCGTGACGATACTCCTAGGTGTGTGCAAGGGCTGTGCGTGCCTCCTCCCGGCCCGTTGGACCCTCCGCAAGCCCCCGAGAGGGTCGCAAAAGCCCCATTTTTTTTAGGAAACAGGCTGCTTAGAGGTGGGAAGTCAGTTGCCCAAAGTAGCCCAGTGGGTGGGTGGGACAGTCAGGAAGGGCAGCCAGGG